CACTGCTTGTTTTCACGCCTACTCTACTACTTGCTTAAGAACCCCCTCAAAAAAACAAAAAGATTCTTTCTTTAAGGGCAATATGGGGATTACTGTTTGCTTTAGAGCCCCCCCCCACCCCCCAAAAAATGAAATATTCTGCCTTGGTAAGGGCAATACAGGGATTGTGGCTTGTTTTTTGTGTGGTGTTCTTAAGCAAATCGTAGTATTCTGTAAATGGGTCGTTGTCTAGATTAGGCTCCCTTATATGGGCCCTACATAAGTACGGCACCCTTCAAGTAAGGGCCCCAAGAAAGGGACCCTAGTCAGAGAACGACCCAAATAACAAACATAACTTCATATAACAATCGCAAGAGTGATGATGATCATCATCATCACATTCAAAATGATTGGACTGGTTTTGGCCTTGTGGCAGAGCCCGAAAAAGACCCTAACAATTGCTGCCAGTCGGTGATCGCCTGAAATCTCAATCCTGTAGCCAGATTGTCATTCTGAGTTGTGAGGTTCAATGACCTTAATGGTTTAAAATGTAGTAGCAGCTCCTAGCAAAGAGATTAACATAGAATCAAAAGAGTCCCACTGTTCAATAGTCAATTCTGGGTTACGATAACTTCTCGCATCGAAGAAAGAAGGGCACATGTAAACGAAACAATAGACTGTGGATCCTGTCGTGCGATGATTCTTGTAACGGTGACACTTCAAGAAAAGCGACACAGATGAAGCAGCACATGTATATAGGAACGCTAGTAGTCAAGACCTAGGCACTGAATAGTTCTGAGATCGCTCGTTGTCCTAGCTTCTCGTCTTGCAAGTCCTCGAAACCCGAGGCAAGGATCGATGATTAAATTCACGGCTTTTGACAAGCCCTCTATGTACGCCGTCTTATTTGAGACAGTCGCCCTGCGGAGGACCTCCCTCCCTCCCCCCCCCCCCCCCCCCCCAAAAAAAAAAAATATATATATATATATCATAAAGTGAGCAAAAGATGTGTTCATAATTCATATGCTAAATAATGGGGTCCCGAAACCCCGGCTCGTCGTGCCAAGGCGGGGCCAGGAGCCTGCTGTCTGAGGCCCCGTCCAATCAGCTCCACGTGCCAGCAATGCAAGAAAAGGCTTGAACACCTGGGAGGTTTAGGGTTTAGGGCTTAGGGTTTAGGATTTAGGTTTTGGGGTTTAGGGCTTAGGGTTTAGGGCTTAGGATTTAGGTTTTGGGGTTTAGGGCTTAGGGCTTAGGGTTTGCGGGGACCTGGGAGGAGATTCTTGTTGGGCTTGTGGGGACCCGGGAAGTGATATTAGAGTTTTTGTATATACATTGGGTGGCAGGGTCGAAGGTTAGGAGTGGACAAAGGGAGAAGATGTCAGGCCCCCATCCACGCCTCCCCCACCCCCCCCCAAGCTCACTGGTGGCTTCTCTCTGAATGAACCCGAAACCCTAACCACAAACCGCTCCAAAAGCCTCAAGAAGCGTTCTGAACGCCTACACAGAGGCAAGGCCCTATGGGCTATGAGGCCTTAAAATCCCCATAATGAACCCTATAAAGGGCCGTTTAGAATAGGGTATAATGGCCCATCCTGGTGGGAGGGGGGGGAAGTGCTCCGGGCCCGCATGAAAAAAACAAAGACACCGGGTCTGGGCGGGCAGGCTTTCGGGAGGGGAGGTGGGAGGCGGGGGACGGGAGGCTTTCGAAGCCCTTTTGACCCTAAACCCAAAACCCAAAACCCTAAACCCTAAATCCTAAACTCTAAGCCCTAAACCCTAAACCCTAAACCCTAAACCCTAGAACACTGAGGCCAAGCTGCCAGTGCCGAACAGCCAACGCTTGCTGCCATGCAGCGGATGAGCCCTGGCCCACTTTCTGGTAGGGTTGAGGGTCGAGGGTCTAGGGTGTAGGGCTTAGGGCTTAGGGTTTAGGGTTTAGGGCTTAGGGCTTGGGGTTTAGGGTTTCGGGTTTAGGGCTTAGGTTTTATAGGGTTTAATTTATAGGAATCTACCGCAAGTCATACCGCAGTCATACCGGGGTTTAAGGTTTAGGGTAAGGGTCCGAAATATGCTTCAGGGGCCAGAGTGCAGTGCTTCCCTTCATTGAGGCGCCTTGGGCCCTAAACCCTAAACCCTAAACCCTAAACCCTAAACCCTAAACCCTAAACCCTAAACCCTAAACCCTAAACCCTAAACCCTGCATCAGCCCCGCGTTCCGAGCCTCCTTGTCTGTGGCATAGCTCCGATCCCCCACAAGGGCAAGACCCAAGCCTCGCAACACTTCAGCACATCACTTAGCTTAGGGTTTAGGGTTTAGGGTTTAGGGTTTAGGGTTTAGGGTTTAGGGTTTAGGGTTTGGGGTTTGGGGTTTGGGGTTTGGGGTTTGGGGTTTGGGGTTTGGGGTTTGGGGTTTGGGGTTTGGGGTTTGGGGTGTGGGGTTTGGGGTTTGGGGTTGGGGGTTTGGGGTTTGGGGTTTGGGGTTTGGGGTTTGGGGTTTGGGGTTTGGGGTTTGGGGTTTGGGGTTTGGGGTTTGGGGTTTGGGGTTTGGGGTTTAGTTTTTTTTGGCCACCCGTCTAGCCAAGCTCCACGGGGCAACTGCAGATAGAATGCTTTGCACACTACACTTCAGAGCCTAAATTTCCGACATATTCAGAAAACCGATGCAGTCGGGTTTAGGGTTCAGGGTTTGGGGTTCAGGGAGCTCCTTGGAAGCCCTTCTGACTCAGTAAGCAGGGTTAGCAAGGTGGGTTATGGGGACTATCATAAGGCTTCAAGGGGATGCTACGCAGACTTGCAATGCAAAGCGCCAATAGAGCTTCCAAGTGCAATGTCCGAATTAACATGGGGGAATTACAAGTATAGGGGACCCCTGCTCTACAGCAGATCCCCAAATAGAATGATTCCCTCATAATAAGGACCCCAGTAAGGTACCCCAAATTTCGGAAACCCCCCATATCTTTGAGAGTCAACGAGGCAGACTGGGGCTCATGGCTGACGAACAACAACACAAAGCTACGCCTGCAAGCCATCTCATCGACATTAAGCCACCAACTCGGTTTCCCTAAACCCTAAACCCCAAACCCTACACCCCAAACCCTGAACCCTAAACCCCAAACCCCCCTAAGCCCTAAACCCCAATACACCCTAGAAAGGACTCCCACAAGGAGTCTCTCCACCTTTCTTTGCATACGAGCGGCTGGCGAGGTGCGCTCGGATTTGGTGGGTGCGACCGGTGATGGGCTTCGCAGACCTCCGCGCAGGCGAGGGCTCGGCATGTCGCAGGGCTTCGGAGGCCGTTTGGGTTTAGGGTTTAGGGTTTAGGGTTTCGGGTTTAGGGTTTAGGGTTTAGGGTTTCGGGTTTAGGGTTCAGGGGTTAGGGTTTAGGGTTTAGGGCTCCTTCCCTCTATGGAATCTAGGTCTAAGGGTTCTAGGTTCTCCAGGAACCTCTGCAGCATGCCGAAGTCCTGCTGTCTGGAGTCCTTGCATCCGTAGCTGTCGGCCTCCGTACAAGGCCTTCTTCATATGGAAACCCTAAACCCTGAACCCTAAACCCTAAACCCTAAACTCTGTGAACCCTGTGAACCCTGTGAACCCTATGAACCCTGTGAACCCGGAGCCCAAAGCCCTAAACCCCCCAGCGACCACAAGCTCTGCACATCCGAAGCGCGAACTCCCTGGAGCCCACACGCACATCCCAAATGGCATGAGTAGGTCCTTCGCCGTCGGGCTTGGGGGGTTTTATTCCTCTCCGTCGAGTAAGTTCTTTTTTTATTTTGGGGGGTGGGGTGGGGGGGGTGGGGGGGGGTGGGGGGGGGTGGGGGGGTGTGGGGTGGGGGGGGGGGGGGTGGGGGGGGCTGGGGGGGGGGGGTGGTGGGGTGTGGGGGGGGGGGGGGGTGGGGGGGTGGGGGGGGGGGGGGGTGGGGGGGGGTGGGGGGGTGGGGGGGGGGGGGTGGGGGGGGGGGGTGGGGGGTGGGGGGAAAGGGGGGGGGGTGGCGCCAAACCCTTTTCCTGAACCTAAACCCGTAAACTCAAGACGAGTGGCACCAGCGACACGATGCTGTCGGGCCTATCCACTTCGGTGAACTTGGCGATGACCTCGGCAGGACCCCCTAATTAGGTCCGAGTGCCCTCAATCCTCCCCCCCCCTCAGCCTGAACCCCCCCCCCAACCTTCAACCCGGAGCTGACTAAGTTCTGACCCTGAACCCTAAGCTCCTTACGAGGGGGTCGTGGGTCTTCCGGATGGTTTTAGGGTTTAGGGTCTAAAAGCAGCCATTTCGAGCTTAGGGTTTCGGCCGTTTGTGCTCTTTGCCCGCGGAGGGGCAGGGTTTAGGTTTAGGGTTTGGAGGTTTTCTCTTGTGACGTACAGTACAGTGTTCGAAGTTTCTGAGTGAAGTTCGGATTAAGCGGGGTGAGGAGTGGTCTGGCTTCAGCATTTGCGTCCGCGCTGGAGCTACAAGCCCTCAACCCAACCCTAAACCCTCAAGCCTAACGCTTAAACTCTGCTGGGAAAGAGGGGAAAACCTCAACCCCACAGCCTAGAGCCTGACTCTAAACCCTGAACCCAAAGCGAACCACAAGGGAGGAGGGTTTGGAGGGAATACCATGAGGGGTCGGAAATTCTTTAAACCCTAAACCCTATACATACCCATTCAACAACCCATAGGGTCTATACAGGGGTCTTTCAACGCCTATCATAGATGGCTGCTTTTAGACCCGAAACCCTAAACCCTAAACCCTAAACCCCAAACACTGGCGCATCTGGGCTCTTTGCCTGGAAAGGTGCCGGACGGCAGCCGGGTGAGACAATGGAGTCCGGTTAGGACCGGGGAGGGTTTAGGGTTTAGGGTTTAGGGTTTAGGGTTTAGGGTTTAGGGTTTAGGGTTTAGGGTTTAGGGGTTTAGGGTCTGGGGTTTAGGGTGTGGGCTTTTCTTCTGGCTAGATATGAGAACTGCAGAGAGAGAGAGAGAGAGAGAGAGAGAGAGTCGGACGATAATCTGCTGCTGCTACATTCGTCATTCAGTCGCTGTCAGATTCTGCGTCTCTTCTTAGCTTCTCCTGGACTTCGTGCTCCAACTTCATCTCCTGATACTCCATGAAGGTCAAGTGCTTCGGGGGCGCATTGGCCGTGAACTTCTGCGCGGTGCTCTGCAAGAGCGGATCCACGGCAGGGGCCGGCTGCCCTGTTTGGTTTGGCATTCCGGGGAGGCCTGTGCCCATGGCTCCCATGGGTCCTCCTCCCATGGCCCCTTGCATGCCCATCGCTCCGGCTCCCATGGCCCCCATCCCCATAGCCTTGGCAGCCCAGTAACCATATTCACATAAAGGGCACCCTTTTTTGGTTGGTTACTTTATAGGGAACCTTGAACCAAAAAAAGGGCAAAGGGTGCCACTGACCTGCCAAGTAGCTTGCTGGTGCTGGAGCATCTTCTCGGTGCCGACTAAGTAGCCTGGAGGCAGCGGCGGCATGCTGGGCATGTGCCCAGGAATTGGCGGAGGCTGCGAGGTCCCTCTGAAGGCACCTGTGGACGGCCCCATGTGGCCCATATGGCCCATGTGGCCCATGCCCATGTGGCCCATGCCCATGCCCATGCCCATGCCTGCAGGGCCCGTCTGCATCAGATGCCTCGGAGGCCCCAGAATCGGGCGCGCGCGATTGGAGCCTGGAGCCTTGGCCTTGGGCCTGGCACGCTGCGCCTTCCTCTTGCCATCCGCCTCCTTCTTGATTCTGGCCTGCATGACTTTCTGTTAAAAATCATATACACTTTAGAGTAATATTGTACCTAATTACTTAAAAAATTCTACTATCTGATATCAGATTATAGAAATATACATACATATATATATATATATATATGTATCAGGCTCAGGGTTGATCCTGGCCTGCATAAAGCTTGCGGCTCCTTTGACCAGCAAGCCCAACTGTTGAGCAGGGGCTTCCAACCTCGGAATCTCATCCGGCTCCTCATCTTGTACGTCGGCCGTGCTATCTTGGGCTTCCTCCTCTTCCTCCTGGGGAGCCATCGAGAGCAGCTCTGCCATCACGGCGCTCGTCGGCGCGAACAAAGTTCGGAAGTCCTCGTACGCAACTTGACCATCTCCTTCCCCTCCCAGCATGGAGAGCATTTCATCCAACTCGTTGTCAGTTGGCTCCTCTCCAATGACAGTCAAGAGGTATCGCAACTCGCTGACCCCCACGAAGCCATTCCCGTCAAAATCCATCTGCTGGAAAGCTTGCTTGACGTGAGACTCCCTGACTCCGGGAAGCCCAGCGATCTCGTTGTCCGGTACGGCTAGCGACAAGCGCGGAACCTCACCCGGCACCTATACTGAACTTGGAACCCTAGCAACAACTTTAGCTCTTGCTGTTTCTTAGGAATCAAAACACCCAAAATGTTCTTAGGACCCAAAAAATTCAAAAAAACACTCTCAAGTACCCCGAAGGAACGGCAACTTGAACCTTGCCTTTGCTAGTGGTGCGGCGCCGCATGTCGGAGTTCCTGGACTTGTTGCTCCCCCCAGGGCTCCCATCAGTGAGCTGCAGGTCCTTAGCTGCTGAGTTCATAAGGCCCCAAAGCCCCCCCCCCCCCCCCCCCCCCAAAAAAAAAAAAAAACAAACAAGAGAGGTGTGCGCCTTTCAGTGCTTCTGGGGATTCTTAGTATCCCAAAAAGTGCCCCCCCCCCCAAAAAAAAAAAAGAGGTGCCACTCATTCAGCTAGACCTTAGTTGTCCAGTACCTAGGGGCTTTAAAGGTTAACCTTTGGGATTATAAGGGGAATATATTAACCCAAAAAGGTTAAAGGTTATCCAACTCTACTACTAAGAGACTAAGGGTCGGGTGCCTTGCTGGTGGAGCGGTTGCTGCTGCGCTCATCGGGCTCGGGAGGCGCAGGTGGCAGCAAGGGCAGGTTCGCAGCATGCCCCTTGTTCCTTAGCTTGTCCAGTCTCCTTGGGGAGCTAAAGGGTTTAGGGTTTAGGGTTTAGGGTTTAGGGTTTAGGGTTTAGGGTTTAGTTGTCCAGTATCCTTGAAGAACTCAGGGCGAACCTTTGGGATTAGAAGGCGATTCTATTACCCCCCAAAAAGGTGAAAGCTTACCGACTCTACATCTGAGGTTCTGGGGAAATGCGACTCTCCGGGCAGCCGGATCCGTTGCCAGGGCCTTCAGATCTCTGGCAGTGGATGGGGACGCCTCGTCCGGATCCGTGCTGTATTTCGGAAGTGCGCCTGGAATGATCGGCATGAGTTCTGCCCGCAACCCTAGGCCATACGCACGCTCTTGAAACTGGGCGGCTGAGGACCTGGGCAGGATCCCTAAACCCTAAACCCTAAACCTAAACCCTAAACCCTAAACCTTAAACCCTAAACCAAAAGCACCTAAGATAGGGACATGCAACTTCCTTCACGAAGCTTCATCAGGCAATCGCGCACAAAAGCCCTAAACTCTAAACCCGAATTATCGGGTTTAGGGTTATAGGGTTTAGGGTTTGGGGTGGAAACCTACTTCTCATTGATTTCTCGCTTTTGGGCTCAGGGCCCGAGTGAATCTCCCGATTTTTCTGCCTAATCCAGCCTAAAGCAATGAGGACCCGCAGCCGTTCAATACCGACTGCTCCTTGATACATCGTTTAGTAGCTTTAAGGTTCCTGATGTGGATCTTAGGGCCCTAAACCGGAAAACAGCTACCTTGAACCTTGAACCCTGTTGTTCAAATTTGGGGGGGGGGTTTTGGGGCACTGAGCACAAGGCCCGACAAGCAGTCTTCGCAGCCAGCCCGTCCTCCATCTGTTTTTGCGCTGAAACGGTTTAATCGCTCACTCTCGGACAAGCCAGGCGAGCTTCAGCGGTTTAGGGTTTAGGGTTGAGGGTTTATAGGGTTTCAAGCAGACTAGCCATACTGCAGGGCAACAATATATATATATATATATATATATATATGTATATGTATATATGTATATATGTATATATGTATATATGAAGGGAATAAGGGTACTAGACATACTGGTGAGTGAAACTTCCGCCCGAAGCTCCAACTGGGACCTCCAGCGCTTCTGACGGGGGCCTAACCATCCTCGACTTACCCTAGAAGAATAAGAAATACGTATCAAACCCTAAACCCTAAACCCTAAACCCTAAACCCTATAGACCCTAAACCCTAAACCCTAAACTCTAAACCCTAAACTCAATATAGTAATAAACAAGAAGCAAGCCTAAGCTGAAGAATTCCACCCTAAACGGCCTCAACCGCGGCTCCTCGTCGACATGCGCGCGGCTCTGGCCTCTTTGGGCCACGACCCGCAAAGCGCGATTTATCTCGAAGGCCTTGGCTTCGTCTTCCCAAGTGCTGCTTGAACCCTTGCCCTGAGGCCACAAAGTAAACTAGCATGACGTGAAATGCTTGTTAATATCAATTTGGACTTGAATTTGACAAAAAGGCCCGACATTTCCATTTTGTTGAAACGGCTACAGGCCCTACGCCCCCCCCACCCGAAGCAGACTGTCAGGTTCATTGCACATGTGCGTTTTAAAGTTTTGTCGCCGATGCGACGAGGGTTCAAAAGTTTTAGCCTGCCCACGAGATGCCACGAGGGGACGCTTCACAAGGGTGCTTCACCCTCGCCCCTGCGTACTTGAGGGTCGATGTTTGGCCCGAAGTTGAGCGCCACGCCCTACGGCTGATGGGCGTCTGCTAAGGACACTTACTCCAACACACCCGTCATCACAAGAAGGAAGCGATGCCATTTTCCATGCAGCCCCCGGTGGGGGTTGACCACAACCCTAAACCCCGGTACTATAACTATCCAGAAGCAACACCCACGTAGGATCTAAGGTTGAGGGTTTGGGGAGAAAGAACCCACACCTACTTTTTGCAGATTGTGAGCCTGAAAGCCCTCATGGGATTCGGAGGTAACCTGCAAGATAAGTGTTGGGTTCTTAAGGTTGTTTTAAAACAAAAACAGGTTGGTTTAAAACAACCCGGTTTTTGTTTTAAAACCACTGTTTTTGTCTTAAAACAATTCTTCTCAACCACAGTGAAGACCGTATTCGACCGCCGCGGGGCGTGGTCAACTTCCCCCGCATCGCCGAAGCAAAGGCAGAGGTACTCCTTGCGCCGAGTCTACGAATTGCTCAAGAACCCCCCTCCCCCCCCCCCCCCCCCCAAAAAAAAAAAAAAACACACACATATATATATATATATATATTCTTCCTTATTAAGGGTAATATAGGGATTATTATATGTGTTTGCTTCTTTTGGGGTTCTTAAGCAGATAGTAGGAGTCTGGGGCTGGCACCACAAGGCGCCAAGGACACTCGCACCTAAGGGCTTTTGCGGCCAAAGGCCTTGCCATACCTGGTAGCCCAGTAACCATGTTATAATAAGGGCACCCTTTTTTGTTGATTACTGTATAAGGGAGCCCAGAGCAAACAAAAGGGTGAAGGGCACCACTGGGCTACCAAGCATATAGGGGATTGTGGGTTGTTTTGAGCCGAAGGGGTAGGATGTGGGGGCTTGTGGGTGTTGAAGGACTCTCAGCGCTGTGTTTCGCGATGTAAGCCCTAAAGCTTGGGATGCTCCCCCTTATGTTAGCAGTCCTTATCAAGGATGACAATAGGGGGTACCTGAAGGACTGCTAGCATACGGGGAACATCCCAACCTAAAGCGCCTAAAAACCCGAAACCCACCTGCAGGAGTCTCCTACGTCAGCAGAACCACAGGGACCTTTGTGAAGCCTAGGTCAAGAAGCTAGTGGCCAGTCCGAAATCACGGGCTAGTGTCCAGTCCGAAATCACGGGCCCTTGTCTGGTATCCTGAGTTACACAGAATATATATATATATATATATATATACATACATGCATACATGTATGTATATATATGTATATAATATGTGTATACATAAGTAATAGAGGACCCCACCACCCCATGAAAACAAATGTGCACAATTGACGATCAACAATGACAAGCGGAGATTGTTCTGAATTAGGGTCCAGTATTTATTGTTCGTCTTTTTCTCTGTTGTTTTTTTGTGTTGGGGGGGGGGGGAGGGTCCTTGTTGCAAGGCGCTCAACTTGCAAAGCGACCTCGAGCCAAATTTAGAAAAACCCCCCCCCCCCCCCCGAATGTCTATACCACCGCGTTTGCAAAGCCACTTAGCACTGTTCCTTATTGTGTTTAAGTACCCTTAAACATGTCGTAAAATGATGCCCCAAAACTCCAAAAGTGAAACTCCTGGCCATTCAAGTGGTCCTAGCTACTGGCCATGGGAGGTGATCCAGGGCTAAGGTTCAGGGTCTAGAGAGCGAGGAGCTATTTTCGGTAACTTCACCCTCCCCGTCCCCCGCCCCCCCCCCCCCCCCCCCCCTCCCCAAAACCCTAAACCAAACCCTGAACCCTAAACCCTAAAACTTAAACCCACCTTCCCCCCCCCCCCCAAAAAAAAAAAAAAAAAAAAAAAGTCTTCGGCTATGCAAGCCTAGCCATGCCAAGAAGGCCCAACACCCTTAGAAAGGACGAGTCTTCTTCCTGAGTAGAAGGCTTGGCAGCCCAAGAAGCATATTATACATCAGGGCACACTGATTTGGTGATTTGGGTTGTTTACTTTCTAAGGGAACCCTGAACCAAAAAAAAAAAAAAAAAGAAAAGGACAAGAGACCCTAAACCCTAAACCCCAAACCCGAAACCACTGGGCTACCAAGACTAAAGAGGTGTCTGAGCCCCCTTCAGGCTCGCCCAGCCCGTCCTTCGAGACAAGCCTTCCAGAAAATTGTGCAAGCAGCCTGGGCTGGATGAACAGGGTCACCCTAGACCCTAAACCGTAAACCCTAAACCCTAAGCCGGGCTGAGGCAACGGGTTTCAATGACGTTTTCTTTGTCTCCGTGCAGTTTTGTTCGTGGGCGATCCCTACTACTCACGCCAAGTGCAGGCAAATCTTACCAGGCAGGATTTAGGCCTGAAAGCTCGCAACAGCAGCGCCTGGCAGATGATTGGATTTAGGAAGCCACGCCCGGTGCCTCCAGTAGAGGACTTGAGCTAAGTTCACAGATCATAAGCTTGAGAACGCTCCGCACCTGCTTCTCACCTACATTGCTGACGCCCTTGCCTTCATACCTAAGCACTGCTCAAGAGCCTGGGCCTAGGAGCTGTGTGGCATGCTGAAAACTGGGGAGTCTTGACTTCTTGGAACCCGAAATGCACTAAACCCTAAACCCGAGCGCCCGGCCACCAAGCCTGCTCACTGTGCTCGTCCCCATCCGCCTCTAGAGCCCCGGGAGAAGGGTCGCAAGGTGCAAGGGTCTTAGGGTGCATGCAAGGGACGATGGAGTTTAGGGTTGATAGAGTTTAGGTTTAGGGTGGTTTATCTTAGGGGCGTAAGTTAGGGGACCACATGAAGAGCCCATATGCAACTACCACCCTTAGAGAGGGAGTTGTTTAGAAGCCAGGTGTAACTCTTATGTAATGATGTCATGGAAGGGTATCATTAGGGAAACAATAATCCAGTGCAGACCTGTCGATGGATTCATTCCCGTTTTTGCTGCTTTAACCCTAAACCCGAACCCCAAAACCTTTCTAATTAAACCCTAAACCCTAAAACCTAAACCCTAAACCCTAAACCCTAAACCCTAAACCCTAAACCGAAAAGTTGAGGGCCGTCATGCCATTCTGCCACTCAAGAGTGAGATCTCGTGGTGTGAGGCAAAGGGTTTAGGGTTTAGGGTTTAGGGTTTAGTTTCTGGTCTGGTTCGTAAACTAGGTACCCACAAATTGGGGTCCCAAATCCAGAACAAAAACCAAAATCCCGAGGCTCCGCCAACACCGCTTGGCTGCCAAAAAACACGACAAGGTCGGTGGGTCAGGGTTTAGGGTTTAGGGTTTAGGGTTTAGGGTTTAGGGTTTAGGGTTTAGGGTTTAGGGTTTAGGGTTTAGGGTTTAGGGTTTAGGGTTTAGGGTTTAGGGTTTAGGGTTTAGGGTTTAGGGTTTAGGGTTTAGGGTTCCTTCCTATACGCGCGGGCCGGGCAAGCCAGAGGGTTCCCAAGGCGTGTTTCCACAATTGTGGGATGTGACCCGAGCGAGCCGGGGATCGTGATTATTGTAGTCGTAGTCAGCCTCACCCTCAATGACCAAGCATGAACCCTAAACCTCTAAACCCTAAGAAGTCCTAAGAACTAGGGAGGGGGGCGGGGAAACTGCAGGATGACGGCGTTCATGTCATGATATTATAAAGTTGAGAGCTTCTTGGACGGCAACCCCGCCCCCGACCCCCCCCCCCCCCCCCCAGACTAAACGCGGCGAGGCCACTGCCTACTACTACGCCCGAGGTTGGCAGGTCCAAGCGTGAAGCCTCATAGCACCAAGAAGTCCCAAACCTCTCTAGGGTTTAGGGTCTACACCACAGGGATATCCTTTTGGAGTAGGCTTCAGACTCCCAAACAAGGTGGGGGGGGGGGGGGGGGGGGCAAGCTTTTGGGTGCTCTGGATTGAGGGCTTAGGATTGGGATCAGCGGCCCGGCTTCTGTTGCATGGCTTGGGCACACTTCAAGGGGCAGATGAAGCAGTTCCTCAAACATCAAGCTGATGCCAAGGTGCCCAGAAGAGGCGGTTTTGAGATTACGGTTTAGGGTTTATGGGGCTGACATGGGCTGACGTTTTTGCTACCCGGCCTCCTGAACAAATGGTCAACAGCAAATACAGAATCAGCAGAAAGCAAAAAGGTACTGGAACATAGCAACATAGCAATATACCCACAAGAGGCAGCAGACAGAATGAGGCGCTCATTTGAAACAAAGTACGTAGAGCATCTTGCCAATCTCTGAAACAAGAAAACCCTACATTTCGAACGAAGGCTCTTGTCCTCATGAATGTCTTGCTTTTGCTGAGGCACGGTGCTGGTCTCGGGCAGCAAGAACCCCGAAACCCCTCAATCCTAAAGCAACCCTCAACCCTCAACCCCAAACCCTAAATCCTAAACCCCTCAATCCTAAAGCAACCCTCAACCCTCAACCCCAAACCCTAAACCCTAAATCCTAAACTCCTCAACCAACACACTGCAACCCCCTCAAGTCAGCTGTGCCACGCGCGTCAAGCAGCGGCCTCGCCGCGCCGCCAGGACGCCCAAGGCGTCGTCGGTCGAGAGTCCGGCCGGCTTCCTCGGGGTTACTTGGAGGTTCATGGTACTTATTAACCAATTATAACTGTACTTTAACTGTACTTACAACCCACTTATTATACCCCCTTAGTACCCTAATATGGTGATAAGTACAGTTATAAGTACAGTTACAATTGGTTTATAAGTACCATGAACCTCCAAGTACACTTCCCAGGGAAGAGACCTGAAACCGCCCTAGAGTTTAGGCGTTTTTAAACGGAGGCTTGAGGCGAGTCAGATCCAAGGCGCGGGCTTATGCCGCTGATGTACGAAAGGGTGCCGAAGATGTCTCTGTATACTATATAAACCCCACCCTGAACCCGTTGTGCACACCCTGAACCCCAAGCCCTTCTCACACCCTTGGCCTCATGTCGAAGTACGCTACAATCCTTTTTTGAGGCAACGGTACTGTACGCCTAAACCCTAAACCCTAAACCGCATTCTTGTAGTGTCTGCGTAAACCCTACCTTAACTCCTTTCAAGTATCATTCCCGGGGACCCTGAACCCTAACTAACCCTTTACCCTTTACCCTAAACCCTGAACCTTAACGCCATGTGCATCTGAAATTTAGGATCCGCACTTAGAGCGTTCAGGGCATGTTTCTTGGTGTCTAAAACCTGGCTGCCCCTTCAGGTCCTTCCTAGCCCTGGGTTGGTGTAAGGCTATTGTATTTCTCCTCAAACTTCGTAGTTTGTGTTTTTTTTTCAGCCCTCAGCCTCTGAACTCCTCCGACAAAATTGCCGGAATAGGATTACAGCAACTTTCAGGAGGACCGATCTCGCCAAGCATCCACGCGGCAACTAGCCCTTCCGCTTCTGCCAGGACTTGCACGGCTGATGCCTTGGCGGCTGGGTACCGGTTGCTGCCAGGAAGCCTGTATATATAGGTCTGTTACCACAACAAGGAGACCGTGTGTTTCTCAGGTGTCCAATTTTGTGGTAACCTCTTCTTCTCCCTATGTTGTTGCTGCCATGATGCTCGCATCACCGAATTGACTTTGTCATGTGACCTGTTCAATTGCTGCACATTGCTGCTACAGGGCTGCTCGGAGGTCTCGAAGCGACCCACGGCTCCGTGCGCACCCAAGGAACCAGGTCTCTGACAGGGAGCACATCGGCCCCAGAGTAGCTCTAAGGCCACTACCAAGTGAGGGTCGCAACGCGGGCCCGCCGCATCCACGCGGTGCTCTGGTACGGGGCCGAAGACGCCATCGCGGCGGCCACCGAACCTTGTCTTGAATTCTGGGGCGGGACATGGGGGTTTCCGAAGTTTGGGGGGTACCTTTTGCGGTCCTTGTTCTAAGGGAATCCTACTATTGGGGGGAACTGCAAACCCCCCAAATTGAGCTCAGGGCAGGGCAGGCTCTACCAGCCCTATGACTACCAGACTCCAAAGACAAGTACCTTTTCGCCACAAGCCCAAGGACCACATCAAAAACCAGGTATCAGCCGGAACTCACGCGTAGCTTCGTAAATGCCAAGGTCCTTGATACAAGCCTTGAGTCCACTTCGCGACTGTGGTATGGAACAACCGAAAAACGCGAGTGGCAGTCCCAGAACCCCCCAAAGCCCCAAGAGTACGCCCTATTGTCAGCCGGTATAGGTTCATGAGAATCCTATGTCCTACAAGGGGGTTTGGCAGTCATGACCTGCCAAACATGCAGGTTTGGTGCTCTTGAGGTTGGGCTTCGGGCATTGCCAGGAAGACCTCTTGAGCGTTTAGGGTTCAGGGTTTAAAGTGTGTAGGGCTGTGTAGGGTGTCTCACATGCGCAGGCCTTGTTTCGGACGTCTGCCAGGATTGGGCTTGGTGCTTCTGGTCTTCGCCCCAACGATGTGTGCCTTTTTTGCCACAAGGGTCTCGCGCACGCTGGAAGATTCGGATTTCGGTATGTTTCCAGAAGGTGCCAAGAGAGCCCGTACCCTTAGTTCAGGTATAGAGCCTACATCAACACAGGGATACCCACATCGTTTAAGGTATCGTCCTTAATTGAGGAATCCCTATTAAGGACTGCTAGTATAAGGGGGAACATCGCGAGGTTCAAGGCTTTTAGGGTTTGGGGTGGATACTTTTGGCAAAACCCTGGGCGCTCTCAACCGCAGCCTTGTGGCAGCTCCGTCCACGCGGCCTCGGGGCCGAAGTAGGCGGCCCGCCACGTGCGAAGTAGCTCCTGCCAAGGGCAATTTTGGGCTACTGGAGTGCGCAAGCCCTAAACCCTATACACCCTATGAAACCCTAGAGAAGCCACCTGGGCCCCCCAAGATGTGCAAACAAAAATAGCCCCAAAACTCATGAAACAGGGCCACTGTCTTACGTGCTTTGGGGGGGTTTAGGCAAGCCCTTAAACCAAGCAAACCCTATAAGCCCTATATAAGCCCTATATATATATATATATATATATATATATATGGTACCCCCCCCCCCAAAGATCTAGGTATTTTCATGGTTTTGGGATCTGTTTTAGGTTTAAGGGTTGGGGGTGGGGGGCTAGCTAAACATGTAAAACTCAATATGGACATGTGAATCTTGATATGTGCGAGTCTTCATATGTGCGTGGTCGTCTTTTCAAATTGTGAGCCCGATTGAAAACGATTGAAACGATTGAAATTCAATCGGAGACCGGATTGAAGATTGAAGATTGAAGATTCCCGGAAACCTTTTTTCTAGGAATCTTCAATCTTCAATCTTCAATCCTGCCCCCGATTGAATTTCAATCGTTTCAATCGTTTTTCAATCGGGCCCCCGATTGAAAAACGATTGAAACGATTGAAATTCAATCGGAGACCGGATTGAAGATTGAAGATTGAAGATTCCCGGAAACCCTTTTTCTGGGAATCTTCAATCTTCAATCTTCAATCCTGCCCCGATTGAATTTCAATCGTTTCAATCGTTTTTCAATCGGGCCCCCGATTGAATTTCAATCGTTTCAATCGTTTTTCAATCGGGTTCACGTCTTGTATAGTCTCAGAATCAGCTTTCGTGACGTCGCTCAAGATCACGTGTCTTTGCAGACATTCCACTCAAAATATACTTGACCATTTGTGTTTGTAATACTCGCAATGGCTCGCATCCCAGTGGCTGGCTCGGTCTTGTTCAAGGATGGCTCCGCCTACCTGAGGATCTCTCCGAAATCAGGGAACATGGCCACGTCCAACTTCCCAGACTCTGGCGCGGGCTCATCCTCTTCTACTCCAAATCCTCCATGGCCGATATCCACACAGCGCTCAGACCAGCAAATCCTCGAGGCCATCAACAGCGGCGCAGCAATAGTTCACCATACTCGGCTTCCGATGAGCCCCACGGACTTGCGCGTCATGCTGAATAATATTCAGACGGCGCTTGGCCTTACCGTCGGAGTGCAGGGTGGTTGGTCGCCGAGGGCCGACCAAAGGCTCCTAGACGTATTGCTGAAGCCGAAACGTAGCCAAAAACGCAAGGCCGCAGCGATCAATGCCATTGAAGACGCCTCTGCGAGCCCCAAGGCCATCCAGGACAAACCCACCGGCAACATGAACAGTGAGCATCCGGAAAATACCCCATCGGTCAATGCCATTGAAGACGCCCCTACGGATTCCGCGGCCATCCAGAGTGAACCCACCGGCACTACTCACATTGTGCGCTCGGAGGCTGCCGTAGATGATCTCGCTACTGCCGACAACACGCCTTCCGCCGAAGACAATGCCACGAGCCACAGCAATGATGGCAGCGACTCAGACTCTCCATCCAGCAGTTCCTCCAGGTCAAGCATTTCCCTTGCTCCTCCTGACGTCAACACAATGAAGTGGACCAGCGACTTCGCCGATGCCTACACATCTGCGATGGACTTGTTCATTATCTCCGGGGATAATAAGAAGAAGAAGAATGCAAGTGCGAAAGTCTTACACGCCATCGTGAAAGCCAAGGGCGTGTTTGACAGCAACTAAAGGGACTATATCCTACTCGGCCGGTGTCGCATCTTCCATATACTGACTGCGCTGTCACCGTCGGAGCGCTGTGAAAAACGTGCGAAGCGAATGCCCTGCACTGATTGTGCTCGCTCTGGCTAGGTGTCTTCAAGTTAACACGAAACAAATAGTCAGTCGCTGGCAGTTAAATAGTTATCTTATGCGTGCATTCTTATGGGTGGTGTAGCATATATGCCTCTATATGTAGACATATAGATGAGTTTAATATTATTTAATATTATATAAATACATAATATACACCACGTGTTACACACCGTAAATATATGCTATCACATGTATGCATATATATGTACATGCATAATTTACATATATGCACATGTGTATGTATTTCTATCTTATATGCTGACATCTCACCGTTAACCATATCAACGCACAGCCTTCATCCTCATCCTTTGCACTCGCATTAGCGCTCAAGCATACTTGCCGTCCTCTCTCCCTGTTGCCCACGAGCCATAGTCGTCGAGGTTCTCATTGTCATGTCCGCCCAACTCTTGGACGATGCCATCAGCGAAGTCAACTCGCAAAACTTCACTCTTCGGCCTCTTTGCAGTGCGAACTGCTCTCGCATCGACCCAGAGCAGCCTTTATCCATCAAGGACTTTCTTGACGGAGCATGTCGCCCGTTGAATGGCATCAAGAGTGTAGCGGTTGTCTTCGACGTTCACCTCGGCGTGCTTGAGTGTGGCAGCTCCCTCAGTCTTGGAGATCTAGTGGCTCAGAAGAAGTTCTCAGATCTGCCAGAAGAATTGCGATTCATGGGCCCGTTGCCAGCTGAGACCAATGTGGATATTGTTGTCTGCAACCTTGGGGATGGCCTGGTTGACGTCATGAAGGTTCTGTACTTCAAGCAATCAGTCTCCAGGCAAGTGGCTGAGGGCTTGTGCAAAGGTCGGAGCTTTGCGCCTCAGTTTCGGCAAGGACCCTGGGCTGTAAAGAAAGGCATTCAGTGGCTCATGAACCAGATCCCTGGCTTTCACGTCCGTTGGCACTCACTTGATCCACCCAGGCCGTCCTTGAAAAGGTCGCAGACACAAAGCTCTTGGAACCCAGAAAATGACGAGCTGTCTGCCGGCATTGCCTTCATCAACAAGCAAGCTCCAGTTTGTGACGCAGCCAATGAACAAACATTCTGGATCCTCTGCAACATCAAGGAAGACTCGGGGACCCCAATCGCTGGGTGGCCCGAAACCAAGGTCCGCTTCATGGCGCAGAACAAAAGTCGGGGATTGGGCGGCGCTCTTCCGAAGACGGAGTTCCCTCTCACAACATATAGCCTCCACGCCGCCATGTCCACCAACATTCTTCCTTACCTCTACCCACTTCTCATGACGACAGCCGTCATGTTCCTGGGCTGTGCTGGTGTCGGCAAGACACCAGCTTTGATCGCGATGGCCTTGGCAATGGGTCGCTTCCACATAAGGCGTCTTGGCCTGCAGGGGCTTCAACCTGGTTGGAGACGTGCGAAGTCATTTGACAACTTTCGGCATAGAGCCCCACAAATCCAGGAAGCCCTGTTCTTGGATGATCCGTCTCGAGGCAAGATTGATATGGCTGATTTGAAGAGCTTCGTCACGGTGGACGAGGACGGCACCGTCGATAGTCGTTACAACGACACTCGCCTCACCATGAACCAAATGCGAGCCCTTGCCTCCAACAACACGAGTACAGATCCGGCGTTGCAGACTCCGGACGCCACCCTCCTCCCTCCGAAGGACTTCATGAAGCTTGTGGAACCTCTCTTCCGGGGCGACGCTGAGAAGGACATTATGGCGGTATTGAAGCGTTCAACGACCTTCGTCTTCACAGAAACAGCTCTGTTCCTCCGCTTACCGAGTGAGAAGCCCGACGCCATAGTGCACCGCATTGTGGCCGACGACCTCCACTTGGACCTTCTCGCCCCTCGCGACAAACCATTCTATGGCAAGTACAAGAGCGGAGTGATCGCCCTTGGAGACTCCTTTGCTGACGATGTTCGTCGTGAACAAGAAATGATTGACTCCTCTGTGGCAGAGACCCAACACTTCCCCTCGAGGGACGACTATGTGAACCATGCCAACCATGCCATCCAGAAATGGTTAACGCCAGAGCCCAAAGTCAGAGTGATTCCTTCTTCGCCTGGGTCTTCCAATGAGGCTGACACATCTCGTTCCGCCTTTGGCCTCGCGCCCGTCTTCCCGGTCGTTGGAACTGGTCCCAAGCCAGGTCGCCTGAACAGCTCTTCCTCTTTCGTCTACAACGATGACAAGCGCCGCCGACTCCGATGCAAGACTTCCGTGGCGGAGGCAGGCGAAAACCAGACCAAGAGCCCAGACGAAGAAGACACTCTCGTTGCGAACGGGGGGGATTCGGAGTCTGCGAATAACCAGGAACAGAACATCCTCAGTTCTCCGGGCGAGGCTATGGACTTGGATCAGGGTAGCGATAGCGCCGAGGAGGAGGCGGCCCAGCATCTCCATGGGTGAGCTCTTGGATGCACAGGGCAGGGTCCAAGTGGCCTGTCATTTTGGTTCTCGGCCATGAACTCCGACAGTGCCAGAACTTTGGACTGAGTCCCTCTGCATTTTCGGTACAGGATATGTGCGGGATTGCCCCACAAAGACCTAGCTAGCTCCAGGTCCACCAGAGTCGTCTTCTGCGCGTTGTGCAGATAAAAGCTTGCTATGGGCTCCACTGCTTTGCTTTGCCCGTTGTTTCACGCCGCACACGCAATGCAATCATCCGTTGTTTCAGGCCACACACGCAATGCAATCATATCCACTTTGCTCACTATTGGCTCCGCCCTGAGATATGAGTTTTACTAGTCGAGTCCTTTTGCCATAGCATCTCTCCGCTTCAGCATCATGGGCAAGTACTTGTGCAAGAAGCCGGCCTATCACTTTCCCATCGCAAAGAAAGGAAAAACACGCATGCTCATGAAGGGGAACCTCACCAAGGCAGCATCCTCCAAGCGTGCGCAAGGCAAGGCTTGGAAACAAACGCCGTACAACCGCACAGGCAACAAGGCTCCTCGTGTAGATCGTCTGAAGTGGAAACGTACTTTCCAGTACTTGTCCTCCTTGAATGAGTACGATGCCATCCAGGTCCTGAAGGACGATGGCCTCATGCCAACATGGGAGGGTGCGGTTTGTCCGTTCTGCTCGCAAGGCAAAGTCGGACCTCTGACAAAGAGGTCTGGGGGACTACCTCGTTATCGGTGCAAGCGCTGGGGCTGTCAAAAGTTCATCACGCCTCAGCACCTACACCCACTCTTTACAGCGACCCGCGGACCTGAAGGACATTCCCTTGGCGTGCAGGCAGGGATGCTGCTCTTGCGCCTTGCCAATGTGCCTCTGAGCACTATCCACGTGGTGACCCAGATCAATCACAAGGCTATCGAACGGATGGAGCATAACCTCACACTTGTTCGCAAGAAGTTTGTGGAAGAGACCCAAAGGACCATGAGCTTCGGGGGTAAAGGGAACAAGTGGCAAGATGTCGAAGTTGACGAATCCGTCTTCGACAAAAAGCTCATTCCGATTGAGGAGGCTGATGATCCCACCAAGGTCATGGACTGGGAGCAATGGGTAGGCATGGTTCAGCGCGGCAAGCCCGAGTCGCTCGTCCTTTTGCGATTGACTCCCCCGTCTCTCGTCTGCACTATACGTACAGAATGTACCGGTACAAGGGAAAGTAGTTGCGTGTCTCACACAACACCTAGGCCCACGAAGAAAAGGTCGCCAGGTCCAGGCCCTATCCGCCGAGACGACTGGAAGAAGATATCCGATCGCTGGCTGAAGGGTAAGCACGTGATTCTCCATTCCGACAGCGCTCGAGCTTACAAACTCAAAATCCCAGGCGTTGTTCACGGATCTGTCGTGCACAAGAAGCGCCGTGTCCAAGTGGGCAAGAAATGGGTTTGGCAACAGCCAACCTACGTCAAGATCAAGAAAGTGACCTTGCCCGGCGGCCGCAAAGTCACCGTGAAGATCGGAACCCAGATCGTCGATCGCGGGTGGAGATTCGTCAAGGAGCGCCTCCGCGTGAACCAACGCGCCAAAACTGGTTCCTTGCGGATCATTGCTCAAATCCGTTCTGCCCAGTATGAGTACTGGAACAGGGGCAAGGACATGTGGCTGGAGACGGGCAGCCTCATGCGGCGGTACATGAGCAACATCATCGCCCAGAAGTGAAGATCCCTGTACTATGTTTGCTCGTAGTGCCTGAGAGGCCACAGTGTCTCATCAACTCCAATGGGGTAGCACGGTAAAGCCGTCAGAAAATGAAACTGTCGCTTGCCTAGCGTTTCAACACACGTCCTCTACTCGTCTTCATCTCTGAGCCTATGCAAATCTTCAATGACCAACTACTAGCAGCATGTTGGAAGGTCCCAGGAATGAAAGGATATTTGCTCGCAGTATTCTCGCGTCCTTGGAGAATACACTGTTTTGTCCATATCACCTTATGCACTTGAATACTTCCAAGGCGTCTGGTATCTTGCTTATCTTTCCCACAGACATCCCCTACTCATCTGCACCTATCCAGGCCCATGCAAATCTTCAACTTCGCATCGCATCCGGACCCATGCAAATCTTCAACTTGATATAGCTAAATCACGAAAATGCCTAGATCTTTGGGGGGGGGGTAGCATATATATATATATATTAATATATATGCCCTAGATACACCCTATATAAGCCCTGTCCCTATACACAAGCCCTTAAACTAAGCCTTGAGGTACCTGGAACAAGAATGAAATCCTTGGCCTGCTAAGGTTTCGCTTTGCCCCAAAGAGGACCCCACACCCAGTTTAGGGTTTAGGGTTTAGGATGCAGGGTTTGGGTTTAGGGAGCGTCTGGTATGTCCCCGACCCCCTCTAAAACGCTGGCATTTCCTCACAGCGCTTCCAGGTAGCAAACCCTTTTCCTATCCCTTCCAAGAGGGGCATAAGCTTGCACGACCCAACACCCCAAATCCTGACTCCATATACGACAATTGAAACCTACAGGCCTTTTGGCCTCACTGCCCCATGTGCCCCAAGGAGCAAATGTCGCCTCCCGCTGCGCCGCGGGAGCTCCGCGCAGAAAAGAGCCGAACTCGACACCCGTGGCCATGAGCCTTTCAGGCACAAGAGGCTTTAGGACCTTGAGGGTTCGGGGCAAGGGCAATGTCTTTTTCAGACGTCACGAAAACTGAAAAATCAACACAAAAAGCGAGTAAACAGCTAAGTAGTCTGTATATGTATATGTATATGTATATGTATACGTTTATATGTGTATGTGTATATGTATATATAAGTACAAATAAATAAACAAACAATAAAAAATAGATAAATATAAATAAACAACTAAAAAAGAAAAAACTATACCTATATATATATATATATATACCCACCCTCGGTGTGGGACCGTTAGGTTTAAGTCAACCATCGCCTCCTCGCCCGGATAGTGCCCGTGAATTGCCCGCAAAGACCCGCCGACATCCCGAAACCGGGACAGTATTTGCAGCAATTTAGGCCCTTAGGTATACTTGGCACTTCAGATTCAGAACGGCAGAGTCCCAACTGTCGTTGTTGGAGTCCACCCGTGCCATCAGGGCGAGGCTCCTAAGCCTTAGTCCCAAGGAGTTCTGTTCCTACTATAGGACGAGAGCCGCAAAGCGAAACCAAACGGGTTTGCCGCGACACCAGACATCGTGCTAGGACAGCAAACAGCCCTGCCTACCTGTCATGCGTATAGGGGCTCTGGGACCCTCTGATCAGGAGTCTTAGGCATACTGCAAAAGATGCGTGCTCGGCACCCTACATGCAGATGGCCCTCTTCTTCATAGTTGCAGGTTCTTACTCAGCCCCATACCCTAAACCGTCCTACATCCCTTTTTCGGATTGGTATGATTTTGCCCTTTTCAGGGTTCTTAGCTCTCCGCAAGATGGTAGGCAGGGGCTCTTTGGGGTAATACGGGGTCGGAAGAAGTACTAGTCATATTCCCTTATGGCTCCTACATTATACTATAATAAGGCCCAAAACCCTATTCTAATTCTTAAGGCCGCTGTAGTATGCGTTGCCTTTGGGCTGCGAGCCCCATATCCCACAACCGCCCGCCAACTCACTCGGTGGGCTGGGCCTTGCTCCAGCCATTTGCCTTCAAGGGTTTAGGGGTTTGGGTTTGGGGTCTTACTGCTAGTTGCTTAAGAACCCCCCCCCCCCCCAGCACCCCCCCAAAAGAAGAAAAACAATAAACTTCCTTAAGGGCGATATAGGGTTGTGATTACTATTTTATAGTTGATATAAGGTTCTTGAGGAAAATAGTAGTTTAGGGCTTGGGGTTATGCAGGCTTGGTGATGCGTGTAGGGTTTGACTGCAGAATGAAGGTTCGGGAGTCAGAGTCTAAGCTTTGCAGCGCAGTCGTGGAATCGGGGGTTGCGGCTAACCACCACCACTGCCACTACGAATGCCGCCACTGCTGCTTCGACGACGACTTCTACTACTTTGCGTCTTCTTCAAGATTTTTGTTTGCAAGAAACCCTGGTTTCCTTGACTTTGCACAAAGAGCAGCAGCGAAAAACACCCAAACAAGTCTTCTGGTGCCACCCGCACCGCTGCTACTGAAGTACCACTCGGCAGGGAGGAAACCGAGGATGGTTTAGGGCCACGGCTTACATGCAAAGCCCACAATAACCCGGCCTAGGGGCCTGGAAACTCAACTCCGCCCTAAACCCTAAACCCTAAACCCTAAACCCTAAACCCTAAACCCTAAACCCTAAACCCTAAAACCCTAAACCCTTGATTAAGGCATCTCTACCTTCAACCTTCTTCGGGTCCTGATTCCTAGTTGCTGAGAACCCGGGCCGAAACAGGTTAACCTTTCAATTATGGCAGGACTCTATATATATATATATATATATATATTGGGGGGGGGTACCATAATATATATATATATATATACACACACACCAAAAGGGAAGGTTTCCTACTCAGCTAGGAAGTATTACGCTTTTTGGAGTGCTCCTGAACTAAGGGGCTTTCGGTTGTCCGGGCAAGGGCCCTCACCCCCTAAACCCCCTAAACCCCCTAAACCCCTAAACCCCCAAATCCCCCAAATCCCCCACATCCCCCTAAACCACCCAAACCTCTCAAACCCTAAGCCGGGAAGGGAGAAAGGAGAAGCCTCAACAGTGCCAGGGCAGCTTCCCACGCCCCGGCGTCGCCGGCCGCGCTGAGCGCCGCTGCGTAGGCCGATGGGGTCGGCTGCGGGCAGGCCTGTGCTGCGACTTTGTGTTTTTTGGGTTTGGGATTTTCCCCCTTATACTAGCAGTCCTTAATAAGGATTATAGTATCTGATGTTATAGTCCCTGTTAAGGGCTCTTGTGTATACGGGGGAGCGTGCATTTTTGCGTTGGACTTGTTGAGGTGTTTGGGGTTTGGGGGACAAGGCATGTTGAAAGTTTCACATTGTCTTTCGGGGCGTAGGAAATGGGGGGGGCTTTAGAGTTTCGGGCTCAGGGACGATCGAGATTGTGGTCTCGGTTGCCGAGAGCCGTCGCACTTTCAGAACTTAAGTCTATATTCAAGATGCTCACTACTCAAGACCCCCGTCGTAGCAGCGAGGAATCTTTTGCGCCATAATTGTAATCGTGTCGCCGTGCAACCATCGCTCACGATGTGGGCTTAATAGCTTAAAGCTTCAAAAGTTGCCACAGTTCCAACTTCAACTCTCAGGCGAGTGCGGCGATTCCGGTGTCGAGACTAGGCGCCTTCCCCAAGTCACAACAAAAGCCCTCAACACTGAAGCAAACCTAAACCCGCTGCTGGATTTGGGGTCTAAGGCTTTCCTTCAGGACCCCAAACCTAGTTTCTTTCGGTTACCTAAGAACCCTAGAATCCTGTAAGGGGTTTTAGATCAGCGGACCCTAAACCCTAAACCCTAAACCCTGAATCCTGAACCCTGAACCCTGAACCTCGCAAAGTAAGTTGCGGGCTCTCAAGGTTGGGGTTTAAGGTTGATTTGCTGACACAAGAGAAGGCCAGTCGCATCCAAGAGTGCCAAAGCAGCATCCTTCAGACTTGTTGGGCAGCTTTTCCCTAAACCCTAAACCATAAACCCTAAACCCTAAAACGCCTAAACCCCTAAACCCTAAGCCCTAAACCCTTAGTTGCATATGGGCCCTAAACCCTAAACTCAAGCTCTTTGGGCCAAGGGCTGCAGGCAGGCTCGAGCTTGGGTTCAGGGGCGACTAGAATCTTTCTTGGCCTTCCTGCAACAGACGGTGAACAGTCCAGGGTTCAGGGTTTCGGGTTTGGTGTTGTAGGCTTGTCAGGTCTCTAACTATTTCGACTGGGACTGGGAGTCGTTCTTTCCAGATGCCACATGCCGGCCATAGTCCGAAGGTGCCCCGGCTTAAGTTCAGATTCGCCGCCGCCTACAGTACAGGAAAAGGTTGTCACCTGCACAACCGAACCAGCAGAACAGTTGGGTCCTTTTTGGGGTGCCCTGAATAACAGGGGCCGCCTCCTATAGAATGGTAACCCCAAAAGGAGACCACATTTTAGAGCAGCCTTTCTACTGTGAACGCGCCTCGTCAGGCCTTAGAACCATAGGACAATCACATTAATCACCGTAACAATGCCCCCCATAACTGCCAAGATGACTCATGACAACCATAAAAAACCACCATAGCATTATGATTTTGATTCTTTCCTTGGTTTTGACCCTAAACCCTAAACCCTAAACCCTAAACCCTAAACCCTAAACCCTAAACCCTAAACCCTAAACGGTAAACCTGCGGAGGCCAAGGACACAAGCCAAGCGTCCCAGGCAGCCCCGCGCGCGCAGGCGTTCAGCAGAGCACTGCTGGTGAAGTCGTTTGGGGCCACCTGAACCGGGTTAGGGTTTAGGGTTTAGGGTTTAGGGTTTAGGGTTTAGGGTTTAGGGTTTAGGGTTTAGGGTTTAGGGTTTAGGGTTTGGGGTTTGGGGTTTAGGGTTTAGGGTTTGGGGTTTAGGGTTTAGGGCTTCGGGCTTAGCAGGGCATTTGGACGAGTTCCACGCCTTAGACAAGCACCCTTATCGTGTTATTGGGTTGGGCTCGCTTCTGCTCGCATGGATAACACAAACCCACAGCCAAACTAAACCCCGAAATCCGAAAACCAATATACATATATAAAAGAACATCTGTACATACATACATACATACATACATACATACATACATACATACATACATACATACATACATATATACATATATACATATATACATATATACACATATACATATATACATATACATTTCTGTCTCTATATATACAAATACATATTTCATATAAATATCTAGGGACTGTAGACTCCAGGCTGGGCTTCCGCCATTTAAACGATCTGGCCTCTTGCCGAGCCATGCGCTCAGCTATGGCCAGGGCCCTCTGCCACCTCGCGCGGAAGGGCTTTGAGGGTTTGGGGTTTAGGGTTTGGGGTTTAGGGTTTGGGGTTTAGGGTTTGGGGTTTAGGGTTTAGGGTTTAGGGTTTAGGGTTTGGGGTTTAGGGTTTAGGGTTCAGGGTTCTATAAATAATCACAATTGCTGAGTACCCTGGGCCAAAATAGAAAGCTAACCTTTTCACTTTCAATCATGGGATGAAATATGCCCCAAAAGGTACGCTCATTGAACATCGACAGACGTTCTGGGCTTATGAAGTTCCGCTGGCTTGTTGAGGCCACCGGTCACGATGCCAAGGTATGTCAAGCATTTGTTTAGGGTTTAGGGTGTAGTTTAGGGTTTGGGGAGTAGGGTTTAGGGTCTAGGGTCTAGGGTTTAGGGCGGGGGGGGGGGGGGGGGGCGGTTCCTCTTGCTAAATCGCGGAGTTGCAATCTGAGACCTCTCTTCCTTGCAAGCTCAGCACTTAACGGGCGTGGCTTCAATCAGGTTTGGCTTTCAAGCTTTGAGACAGCCCAAATCTACAGAACCCAGCCGGGAAGCAAAATCCGTTTCGTTGTGAAAAGACAGGTGTCACAAACATTGTTTGGGTCTCTTCCGCAAAAGAAGCACGTCATTTTACTTCGAACATCCCCACCCTCTCTGGGTAGAGATACTCTGGGGTTGGGCACTCCAGGGACACTCTGGGGTTGGGCACTCCAGGGACGAGACCGGGCGAGGATGAGATTTCGGGGCGAGGAGAAAAGCTCAACCCGCGCCGAGGGTGCACAAAAAAAAGGCTCCAAGTTCAACTCTTGAGGGTTTAGGGTTTAGGGTTTAGGGTTTGGGGTTTAGGGTTTGAAGGGTTTAGGGTTTTTAGGAGCCCCCCAAGACGAGTAGCCCTAGCGGGTGTAGGTCAAACGGCTTTTGGCCTTGGGAGTCTTGGACAGGCAAGAGAAACTCTTCAAGCTTCTCCACTATTTGCTTCAGAATCCCCCAAAAGATACCTCAGAAGGGTAATATAGGGATTGTTATCTTTCATGTTCTGGGGGGTGCTTATGCAAATCAGGTAAGCAGCTGGAGGCTTCAAGGACGTTTGTTTCAGCCCAGGCAGGCCAGAGACCTTCAGATTTTGAAGGCAATTTGCCTTACAAGGCTGCCACCAGGCTTTAGGACGAGAAGGGCTGCCTTTCACCAGAAAAGACGTGTGGCTCGTTTCGAGAGGGTGCCACTTGTGTCTGTGTCGGTACTACTGTGTTGCCGGTAGTTGCATTTGCCCGTTCCTTCTTCACATACACACGTCTTACTCAAAATGATATTAAACCCTAAACCCTAAACCCTAAACCGCTCGCATTATTGCTGAGTTTGTAGTTTGTTGGACCAAGGGGGGGGGGGGGGTAAAAAAGGGAGAAAGAATGGGTTTCTTATTACGTCAAGCTCCGCAGGGGCCAACAAAAACCCCTGATATCGGGCAGTTGGGATTCCTTGTTGTTGGTTAGTAGGGAATGGGGGGAATAAAGTACCCTATATACTCCCTTAAAGGGTATGTATATATATATATATACAAATAAACCAATAAACAAATAAATAAATAAATATATATATATATAAGGGTCCCTCATTCCCCCATTCCCTGCTAACCAACAGCAAGATCCTGGATCGCAGCGCAAGGCGCCGTGCGCCGCGCGCGCAGGCGTCAATCGCAGAGGTGCAGGTGATGATGTCGGCCTGAGACCATGCAATCCGCGCCGCTGCGAACAGCTAAGTTGGGCCGGTCGTGAACACTGGTTGGGGGGGGAGGAACCTAAACCCTAAACCCTAAACCCTAAACCCTAAACCCTAAACCCTAAACCCTAAACCCTAAACCCTAAGCCCTCATCTTGGGAATGTGCCCATCTGCAAGAGAACCTCGGACCGATGGCAGCTATGGGGGAAGCTTCATCCGTTCACTTTCTGAAGCCGGCTTCTTGGTAAGCTGTCCATGGGCCGCCCTTTATTTAGAGTCTTGGTAGCCCAGTAACCACATTAACATAAGGGTGCCCCTGTTTTGGGGTAGGTTACTTAAAAGAAGGGAGCCTTGGACCCAAGAAAGGAGAAAGGGATACTGCTGAAGTACCAAGGAGTGGATGTAAGGTCTGCCCCTTGGGGTTCCCGTGCCTCGACCTCGCCGGCCAGCATGTCGGCAAGCAGACTCCTTGCATCGACTCTGTGACTGGACAGGTGGGTATAGTTCTCTACATCAGGGTCCCGTGTTGCGGCCTCTAGGGTTTTTTTAGGGTGGCCGTAAAAATATTGGGGGTTCCCCAAAAAAGGACCCTCCATAATCCAGAAGAACCCGCAGCTAGACCCTTCTGCGGCCCTCGGAGGCCTTGAAGTATCATTGGGGTCGTACTCGGACCCCCAAAGGATGCACCCCTAAGAGGTTAGCACTAATATACTCCCAGTATGGCCCGGGTAATTCCCTTAGATGATCGTTTAATTGCAACCTAGGGGGGTCCAAGGTAGAATCCCATGAAACGATGACCCCTAAACCCTAAACCCTAAACCCTAAACCCTAAACCCTAAACCCTAAATCCTAATCCTAAACCCCAACCCAAACCCTAAACTCGGCCAGCTAAGGCACACCGCTTGCTGCCACCGCTCGGCTTTGCCGAAAGCGCTGATGGCCGCGTTGAATGTGAAAGCGTTGCCTTAGCCAGCAGGGCGCCTCGAAACTACTTGCTGTAACACCATATGGGGGTTTCCGAAATTAGCGGTACCTTATTGGGGTCCTTATTCTAAGGGAATCCTACTATTCTGGGGGTCTATATTAGGGGTCCCTTCTTTTCGTAAACCCCGTATACATACAGTTGCATGTGGGTGGACATCTCTGTGCTTCTATGCGAGCAAGCGTCGCTGAACTTGGGATCTTTCCATGCGCTGCAGTATCTCAAGCACCTCAGACGTCAAGGACGGCATGCTGGGGGGTCCCAACTTCCTGACGAAACGCCCCCACGTCTGCGCCATATCTACCGCTGGGTGCTGACTACTGCAGTTGCAAGTTTCTTGCACGGCATAACAGAACGGACCCAAGTTTCTTGAGCTCCGGGCACTCTGTTCCATCCTGTTGCATCAACTCTCGAGCCTTCTGAAAGTAAACGGGTAGATGGAATGCACCCACACGCGCCGCGCCACGCGCCCGACTCGTGACGAGCAAATATGTGTCATGCCACTCGGCCAATGGAACCTTTCCATCGTCTCCATATCGAAGTCGGCGAAGGCAGCAGCTCTAACCCCCATTAGCCCTCCCCCTTCTGAACCCTAAACCCTAAACCCTATAAACCCTAAACCCTAAACCCTAAACCCTAAACCCTAAACCCTGATTCAAAATGTTGTGGAAATAAATCAGCAGAGGCGCCGCTTCCCACGCCGCTGGTTTTTCCAAGGCACTGACAGCGGAGCCTCAAGAATTAGGGAGGGAGCTCTGAGGCTGTCTGGCCTTTTGCATAAGCAAAAGGAAACTCAGGACCACACTGTAAATGAGTTCCCTAAGCCCTTTGAACCCTAAATCCTAAACCCTAAATCCATAGCTAGTATTATGTAGAGAGGCTGGAGCTGTAAGGGAGTCACAGGCCCTGAACGTGTTGAGGGTTTCATCAACCCGCAGAGCCTTGCCCTACATCCGAACCTCTTGCCAGTTCTCAAAATGCTGCTCCTGCTTTTTGGGTGCCTCAATACAAGGTGCCATGCCGGGGACCAAGAAAAGGGAACGTCGTACGCTTCTACATTCATGCATTCGTAGTTGAGCTTCCTTGACTTGCTTGGGGCACCCCTTTTAGGAACCCCTATTTAAGGCTCCCAGCCTGAACCCTGAACCCCCCCCACTCTCCCCCCCCCCCCCCCCCCCCCCCCCCGTCTTCAAGATCTTAGAAACTCCCATACAAGCCCTCCACTAGGTTGTCCAGCAGCCGGGCACACTTGCTTGATTCAATGGAGTCTAGAAGGGAACCTGACCCTAGCAAAGGGCCTCGTAGTCACACTAAACCCTATGAAGACCCTGACTGCATCCACTCGCCCTTAACAATACTATAAGTCCTGTTTCATTTGCTATTTAAGGGTTTAGGGGTTTAGGGTTTACGGTTTAGGGTTTCATCTAGTGCAAAGCCGGGAAGCTATAGGTGACAGTGTTTGCCTGGATCCTCGGCTGCTTTGGCTGCTTTGGCATGAGCCGCCACCCCCCCCCCCCCCCCCCCCCCGACCCTCTACAAAGTCAAGTTTTCCCGAAGCAGACGGTTGGGGTTCTCTCGATGCCTTCTTATCAGGATTTCCGAAGAGTCAGAAGAGCTCTGCCAGGTTTTGCCGCGGTTTCTCTCTCCCGGCTACTAGGGCTTTGGGCTTGTGGCCTATCGGACTCAAAGTTTGCGGGGGCGGTCGTGCAGGGCATTCCTTCAGTCGCGCGAAGCGCCGCAAAGGCTCCTGTACTCCCCTTGGAACCTTAATGAAAATATGTTGTTTCATATCCTCCTTGGTTTTATATTAACAAAAACTTAAAAATAATTCCCAAGGGGGATATAGGCTCTGCGACAAGCACATCTCGTCCAGAATCTGCATGGCGCTCGGCCAGGCGCTCGCTTTGCCGCAGGCGCTGATTGCCGTGCCTAATATAGGGGCCTTAATCATTTTAACAGGGTTCTTAGGGGGGTTCTTATAGTATACTTGTGTAGGGACCAGGAGAAAATGCCACTAGTAATCATTCCGACCCCTACAGTAGGCTTGCTGTTTCCTGCGGAGGCCCCTCCCCCCAAACGTCCCACCTGAAGCCAAATCTCCCGCAGCCTGACTAGGCAGGTGATGTGTTCTGTTCCATTTGTTTCGAATCTGCCTCGTTGCGTGTGCATCGTTGCAAGCACCAAGGAGAAGTTCACCCTGAGCCCAAGAAACCCCGACCCTAAAGCGAGATGGCGTTCCGGGCTTGAGCTTTAGGCTTCTACGGCTTAGCTTTGCGGGAAGAAGAAAGCCTCAAGCCTCAAGCCTACAACCCCAAACCCTAAATCCTAAACCCTAAACCCTAAGCCCTAAACCCTAAACCCTACACACCGCCATCCCTCCCTCCTCTGCCACCCGAGATGCTGCAGTAGACCGTGTCGGGCAAGATCCGGGTCCTTCGCATGACTTCCAGGAGCCCGAGGACAACTGCCCAGGCTCCTGCCAGTGAGTCTTAAAACCCTTCTGAGCAAGGGACACCCTACACCCTACACCCTACACCCTAAATCCTAACCCTAAACCCTAAACCCTAAACCCTAAACCCTGCTTTTGCATCTGGACTGCGGGAGCCAACCAGCCAGAATACTTGTAGCATTGCCGACCCTCAGACACCCTAAACCCTGAACCCCAAAACCCCGAATCTGCTGGCTGCCCTCAAGGCATCCGAAAGACAGCGGAGGCTCAAAGGATTCGGTGACTTGAGCGTGTAGTCCACATTCTCCACCATCGGGGCAGAAAATCTTTATCTTGGGCTTGGCCCCCACATACTATGTGCTTAAGAAGCCCCCCAAAAAACACAAGATAATCATCCCCATATTGCTCTTACAGGGAGGAAACGTTTTGTGTTTTTGGGGCTTTCTTAAGCAAATAGTCGCCACCAAAAGCCCAGATTCGCAAGATTTCACAAGCCTGCAACTCAACACTAGGAAGAAAAAAGGATCCTTTTTGTTCATTTATAAGAAAGCCTATAGCCCAAAAAGTAAAAAGGAACCCTAACACTGATCTAGAAGTGTTGTCTGAGCGTTCACCCTCTGATTCAAGTCGGGGCAAGCGGGGGGCTGTAGCCTACTCCAAAGCACCTAAACCCTAAACCCTAAAACCTAAACCCTAAACCTAAACCCTAAACCCTAAACCCTACAGGAATTGGCCCTCCGAACCCCGGAGAGCAGCCTCCTCGTGCACAGGACGCCGCCACAGAGCCGAAGTGGAAAACGTCCAGCTTCTGTCCGCGGGTGCGCAGGGCTTCAGGCTTAGGACCTACAACTAGTAGGGTGTATATCTAAGGTTCTTACATACTCCCTTAACATGGGCCGTTTAATTCAGGAACCCGTCTATGCCCCTTATATGCCCACAAAGCCCACGGGCCCATGCAACTGACTCAAACCCGAAACCCTCAACGCGGGGCTCAGCTTTGACTATGGAGTCGGCACGCGATGGGGGGGGGGGGGAGACTCTAGGCATGCACACTCAGAGCTTTACTCCCCTTAGAACCTTAATAAAAAAAATATGTTTGTAATATATATATATATATATTTAATATCCTCTTTGGTTTTATTTTCATATGAACATTATAAAAATAGTTCCCAAGGGGGATATAGAGAGGCTTTGAGGCCTGCTCTCCATCGCGCAGTTCGCCCAGTACGTGCACCTTCGACGCGAGAGAAAGGGTACAGAAGGACATCGTCGTCTGAGTTGTTTTTCTTGGTCACCCGCCTAGCTGAGACTCAAGGAGAACCCCAACCTTTTGAACCTGAAGAACACCAAACCCCCAACCCCTAAACCCCGAAACCTGCATCTTCGGATGTTCGCCCTTGTGCCAACAGTCCATAATAGGGATTGTCATGCTACAATTCCCACTAGGGACTGTTAGTATAAGGCGGAACGTACATCCCACCCCTAAACCCTAAACCCTAAACCCTTAACCCTAAACCCTAATCCCTAAACCCCCAAAAGCTCCGCCAAGGGCACCGCTTCCGGCCAACTTCGCCGAGCTGCAGCGGCCAGGCGCTGCCGTGGCTTAATGGAAGGGGACTCCGCCATGAAACCACCACTATGTGCATGTAGGGCTTAGGGTTTAGGGCTACTTGGAGGTTCAGGGTACTTCATAGCCCAACAATAACTGTACTTGTAACCCACATAAATGCCCCTTAAGTGCCCAATATGGTTATAATTGGGCAAAAAGTACAGTTATTCTTGGGTCTGAACCTCTCAGTAGATGCTTAAGAACCCCACAGAAATATGACAAAACAATCCCAATTACCCTTATAGAGAAGATTTCGATTTTTTGGTTCTTTGGAGGGTTCTTGAGCAAATGGTAGACCAGGATAGGGATTACATATAAGGTTTATCGGGGCTATGGATTATAGGATTGTAGGGTTGCGGGGTTGGGGTTAATATGGTTGCGGTTTCTTCATAGGAATTAAAACTATAGGGTTTAAGGTTTCTAGGGCTATGGTTGATAGGGTTGACAGTTGGGGTTAGAGTTTGGGTTGAGTGCTGTTGCTCACAGGTCAAAACAAGGCTTCAAAGAGCAACGGGCAGTGTCACCCATGAACCTTCGAGTAGTTTCCTTGGCTATAAACCAAGACTTAAAGTCCAACGGTGTTCATGCACATGTCGACCCAAACTCACTGTTTGAGGAACTACGATTGCTGCGAAGCTCCAAGCAGCTAGCTTCCCTGAGAACTGGAGCAGTTACACATTGCCAGTGCTACGTAGGCAGGTACTCCAACAGCACCAACGCAAAAGTACGCCTGTGTAGGGAAGTTGGGTTCCTTGTATCCCCTCTACCCTTGAAGGGACTACCCTTGAAGGGACTACGTTGCCCTAGTTCCCTACAAGAGCCACCAAGTCAAGCGAGGAGTGGTTTGCGCCATCCCTTAAAAGGGGCGCAATCCATACCCCGTACCCTTAAACCCTAACCCCTAAACCCTTTTACACCGTAAGCTGCTAAAACAACCCTAAACCCTAAACCCCATAAGCCATGGGTCTGGCATCAATGCACCCCTGACTGCGCAACGAAGCCGCAGCGAATGCCTTCGTTGTTTTGCCGTCTCTCCGCTGGCTGCTGCAGTTGGAGGTGCCCCTCTACCCGAAGGCTCTACCCTAAGGCTCTACAAAAGGAATCTTATTTTAGGGAATATTGGGCCCAAAGGGCTTTCTTGCCTTTTGGGCTATTCTGGGGACTCTTATTTTAGGGCTTTTGGGCCGCCTTTCTTAAATAAGGTTTTTGGGCTGTTTTGGGCCTGAGGGTTACCAGTTGCGGTCTTCGAAGCCACGGAATCAAAGCTCAGGAGATCGGGACGAATCCTGAAAAAGACAGGGCACCGAAAAGTACTGGGGTTTAGGGTTTAGGGTTTATAGGGCTGAGGGTTTGGGGTTCCCTGGCAGCATGTCCCCCCTGCAAGCCTACTAGTTGCCTCAATAACCAAGGAAATGAAAGATGATAGTCCCCATATTGACTTTTAAGTCAGAACATGCTTGAATTTTTGAGGGGCAATGAGAAGCAACCTGAGGCGCTCAAAAGTTTTCGCGGATGTCAACACAGAAACGAGAACTTAGAGGCCAAGGCATTCGTGATTGCACTGCGTTGCCGAGAAGATGCCACCCTAAACCCTAAACCCTAAACCCTAAACCCTAAACCGTATGCTGCACCCTGACGGCGGTCCTGCTGCTTTCGGAGTTCCTCACGTGTTTTCTGAAGCTCCGCAGGCGTGAACACCTGCAATGCACTTGGAGCTGCACTAGGTTCGAGAAACCCTATAAGGGTCCAACACCCGGTCTTTAGGGTTTAGGGTTTAGGGCTTAGGGTTTAGGGTTCAGGGGGGCCCTTACACCCCTTCAAGACGGCTCCCGCTCCACCGAGTGTTAAGGGTCTAGGGTTTCGGGCGCCTCTTTCGGAATTATCGGCGGGTCCAGATCAAAGACCACCAAATGCTTTGGTGCGCACTTCCGCCCTAGTACACTGTCGCATGTTCCCAACCCCTACACTCCCTCCCTTGGTTTTCTAAATACAAACCATATAAACAATTCCTAAGGGGGCTGTAGACCCTAAGGCCCACGACCCCATGATGTTAGCGCCTTTTATCTTTTTTGGGGTCCCAAGGGCCTTGTTACTTGGGGTTTTGGGGCCTTTCAGGTCATACTCCATCCTTCATTCATCCCTTCTTGCATCTGGTCGCCTTCAAATCCCTACATGACCCCACTCTTGGAGACCCTGCAAAAACTGATAGAGTAAGGGCCCTGTGGGACATGTTGTCTGACAGCATTGGAAAATAATCCGTTTTTGCTTGCAAGTTGGCTTTATGCTCGTTGTATGCTTACTCTCTGTCTTCTTCAATGTTCCTCCTCGTCTTCCCAGCATTCGCCTTCGTCGCCCTCATCCTCTTCTCATGCCGCTGCTTTTGATGGCAAGCGTGCACGGCCCAAAACACTCTGAGCTCCTCAACCCCTCAACGGATCCCCCAGCAGAATGAACGGGGTGGAGATCAGCCTGCGTAAGTTTCGGGTCAAAGGGCGCCTGGGCGCTTTGTCCGCTCTTCGCCAAAAACTCCTGCACGGCCTCGATGCCACCCTCCTCACACAAACCAACACTTAGCAGCCCAGTAACCATATGGGCTAGCCAAAAAACCCGGTCGTAAACGCAAATACCCGAGCGCAAACCTTATCGTTAAATTTTATTCCTTATCGTTTTACGAGGTAAACGACACATGCAGGAGGGAAAGCTATGATACCACACAGTAGTACATCTTTAGTACTGGCCACGTCTCGGCAGTACTGGGCTCGGCCGGCTGGCTTTTCATTGCTTTGTAGTACAAGCTTAGTACTGGACTCGATGTTTCCCTGAGACGGCTGGGTTTTTCATTGCTTTGTAGTACAAGCCTAGTACTGGAATCGAGGTTTCCGTGAGCCGGCCGGTTCTGTCATTGCTTTGTAGTACGAGCTCAGTACTGGAATCGATGTTTCCGTGAGCCGGCTGCTTTTTTCATTGCTTTGTAGTACAAGCTTAGTACTGGACTCGATGTTGCCCTGAGACAGCTGGGTTTTTCATTGCTTTGTAGTCCAAGCTTAGTACTGGAATTGATGTTTGCGTGAATCGATGTTTCCCTAAGCCGGCTGTATTTCATTGCTTTGTAGTACAGGGTTAGTACTGGAATCGATGTTTCAGTGAGCCGGCTGGTATTTCATTGCTTTGTAGTACAAGCTTGGTACCCTTCCTTCTGCCCAACATGTCAACGTCATCGTTTTTTTCTATTCCTTATCGTTTTACAAGGGATCCTTGACTTCGGGGCCGCCCTTACAAAAAGTTCCACAACCGGGTTATTTGCCAAGCCCATATTGCAATAAGGGCACCCTTTTTTTGGTTGGTTACTCTATAAGGGAACCCAGAACCAGAAAAAGGGCAAAGGGTACCACTGGGCTACCAAGCACATCTATTTAGTGTTCTGGGGTATGAGTATTTCCCAAGATAGGGGGTACCCCTTTTCTACCCCAGATAGAATCGAATCCCTTCAAGGCCCTTTTTTTTGGAAGCCCACGTATCATGATGCGGAGTAGCGAGGCATCTCTCACCCCTGTCTGTCCTCTGCTAGCTTCTCCAAGACCTTTTGATCTGGAGGGCGCTTTCGACCGCCACCTCCCTTGCCAGATGCCTTGCACACCAGGATGAGGCCCCAAAAATCCCCATAATCAACCCTATAAAGAGGGCCTTTTTAAAGGGTTGTCGGGTTTTCCTCCTTGCCGTCATGAGGTCCGCAAGTAGCAGCAGCCTACGCCGGCGGAACTGAGGCCCACGCGCATCTGAACCCGGTGTTGTAGCTGCCACTGTCTGCGGTGTTCCCCATGCGGGTCACAACAGTCGCCTCCAATTCTGCCCACTCGCACAAAACCCCAAACCCTAGATAAACCCTAAACCCTAAACCCTAAAAATATGAAACATCCTATTGCGCGGCCTTGTGATTGAACTCTCCAGCGGGGCTGTCGATGAAGGACCCGCCCTTCAGAGTCCACTGCGGCTCTTCTTCCGGCCTCCACGACTCTGTTGGGGTTATAGTGTTTTTCCTAGGGTTGGATAGGGTTTAAGAGGGTTTAATAGGGTTTATAGGGTTTCGTAGGGTTTAAGAGGGCTTAAAAGGGGGTTTATAGGGTTTACAGGTCGATACTGATAGGGTTGATGGGGGGTGGGGGGGGTGGGGGGGGGGGGTGGGGCGGGGTGGGGGGGTGGGTGGGGGGGGTGGGGGTTGGGGGGGGTTGGGGGGGGGTGGGGGTGGGGGTGGGGGTGGGGGGGGGTGGGGGTTGGGGGGGTGGGGGTGGGGGGGGTGGGGGGGGTGGGGGGTGGGGGTGGGGGGGGTGTGGGGGGGGGGGGGGGGGGTGGGGGGGGGTGGGTTGGGGGGGTGGTTCGGGGGGGTGGGGGGGGGGGTGGGGGGGGGGGGGTGGGGGGGGGGGGGGGGGTTGGGGGGGGGTGGGGGCGTGGGGGGGGGTGGGGGTAAACCCTAAACCCTAAACCCTAAACCGAAACCCTAAACCCTAAACCCTAAACCCTAAACCCTAATCAGAGGCCGGCCTGCTGCCAGGAAAGGGATCTGAAGTCCACTCCCACACATTGCCAACCTGGGTGCATCAGGCAGGGTTGAGGGCGCATGGGCTGGTGAGGATACCCAGAGACTCCAAAACCCCTTAATTAGGGAATATCCCTTAAAGTCTAATAAGAACCCTAGTATGATTTAAGGTATATTCCTTAATTAAGGGGTTTTGGAGTCTCTGGGTACTGCAACTTGTATGGCGGGAGCATGCTGAAGATCCGACCGTGGAGAATACGCCGTAGGAGTTTGCAGGATACGCCTCTTGGACCCACCGGTAGCTCACAAGCAGCGTGCTCGTCTTACAAAAATTCCCGGCATGATGGCTAAAAGTCGAGCAGGTCCTCGCACATCGGGCCAACCCTCAACCCTATAAACCCTAAACCCTAAACCCTAAGTTTGCTTTTTTTTGGGGGGGACAACTCCCCCGAATCCCAAGCCTTGACGGGGCTGATGGCATGGTAGCCATCCTGTCCAGTCTAGGGTTTAGGGTGTAAAGTTTCGGGTTTAGACGGCAGGGAACAGCTAGCACATACAGCCAAGGCGTTGTGCATCTCATGGCGCTCCGGTGCCTCTAGCAAGTTCTCAAAAGGAAAGCGGCCCTGCCAAATGTTCATCTTCCACCTGGGGCCACGTCTTCTAGGGTTTCGGGTTTCGTCTTACAAAGCCAGCACGCGAGCGAAGGCAGGTTTCGACGTCCAGCCTTCCCTTACCTGGCACATCGGAGTCCTCCCATGGGTAGAGAGACCTTCCGGCAAGAGGCTGGGGCTCAGATGCGAACACCCTCTCAGGGAGCCAAGGGGCCCACTCCTTCCGCTTTCCCCTCGCCGCATTCTCCCACTCGGCCTCAGCACCGGTTTCGGGCTTACAGGCCAGCTTCTGCAAGGCGCCAAAAGGCACGCAAAAATTTAGAAATAAAACATGCAGGCCTCAGTCGGGAGCCGCTTGCCAGCCCATTCGCAATAAGCCTCACGTTAAGGTGGCAACGAGGCAAATGCAACATGATTTCGATGCCCAGCGCACAAGACTTCGCTCGCAGTACCTAAAGGTTGGCCCCTTGAAGCTTTAAAAAGGAGTCCCAAGGATGACCCTGTCAAACCCCATAAGGGAAGATAATAAGATAGCCCAAGGGCCTCCCCACATACTCTTGGGCCACTTTTTGGCGTCTCTGGTAGGTCTGGGGGTCCTGGCATTTGCATCGGTCCAACTGATGTGCACGACGGGGTAGTCTTCCCACCTGTCCTCGAGGGGCCAATCTTCATGAAAAGAAGAGCCAACAGCATACCTTGGGATGTTCCCCCTTATACTAACAGTCTTGAGAGTCTTGAATAGGGAATATAGTGGGGGTTACTATATTCCCTATTAAGGACTGCTAGTGTAAGGGTGAACATCCCAGAACATACGCCGTCACACACCTGGCCTTCAGCGAGGAATCCCGCCTTGCTTTTACACTGGACACCGACGCACCAAAATTTGATGAACATCATCAACAGGTGCCAATCAAGCAAGCATGCCAAAAACTGGCGGGTTCTTAGTAGGGAAGAAGGGAATGAGGGCCCTGTGTATACCCATTTAAGGGGCCCGAATTCCCCCATGCCCTACCAAGAACCAGGGGGGAAAGCGCCAAGCCCCTCTGGATGTCGCCACCAAGCGTTTTCGACAGCGACCTCCACAGTTCAGTGCCACTTCTTCGGCCCTAAACCCTAAACCCTAAACACTTTTGGGGTTTAGGGGTCTCTGCGATTCAGTCTTCGGCCCCCAGCCCAGTGTGGTGCACTCTCGATGTGCTGCGGGGATTCCCGCAGCACGGCCTTGGGATGCCACAAAGCTGCATCAAACAAACTTCATGCAGCTCTTTATCCCTAAACCCTAGTCCTAAACCCTAAACCCTAAACCCTAAACCCTAAACCCTAAACCCTAAACCCATCTTTTGGCAGCATGTCCCGACCTGGCTCAAGGAGCTGTTCAGCACAAAGCTCCAGCCATATCTTTCGGCATCTGTCCTGTCAACGTGAAGGGAAATCTGTCTCTCGCATCCCATGGGCTTCGAGATTAGCCTCTAACAAGACCATCGGATGCTCACCGGAAGCCTTAACCCTAAACCCTAAACCCTACAAGTCGGTCTTGAACTTGGTTTCTTTGACAAACTCACGGAAGTGCGAGTTCGTGACCGGCGTCTCATCGATCGCATATGCCTCTAAGGTCACAACGCAGCAACCAAGGTTTAGGGTTTAGGGTTTAGGGTTTAGGGTTTAGGGCTTAGGGCTTAGGGTTTAGGGTTTAGGGTTTAGGGTGCTTGCACTTCACGGATGTGGCCTGCAGCGATATCTGTTTTGTGCCAGGAGCTCCGGAAAGCTCGTCACCTCCCATGAGAAAGGTCCTGGCCTCAGTAAGCAGTACGGGTCAAGTTCAATCAGGGTTTAGGGTTTAGGGTTTAGGGTTTAGGGTTTAGGGTTTAGGGTTTAGGGTTTAGGGTTTAGGGTTTAGGGTTTAGGGTTTAGGGTTTAGGGTTTAGGGTTTAGGGTGTAAAGCGTGAAACGAACAAACAGCAGTACGGGCTTAACGTCTGCCGGAAGGGCCTTGGCCAAAAGCCCCTAAACCCTCCACCCTAAACCCTATAGGGTTTAATGATAGTACACCCCCCCCCCCCCCCCCATAGTCTGAGCCGGGCCGCAGGTATCTTGCGCAGCGCAGGCCCACGGCGCTTCTTCTTTGAAGCTTTCTGGTTGCTGGGCTCAAGTGCCTCGCTGCCACAAAGGGCAGGAAGGCATCCTGAGTTCGCCGGCAAGATGAAGGCACTAGTGGGGGGGGGCTCTTTCGGTTTAGGGTTTAGGGTTTAGGGTTTGGGGTTTAGGGTTTAGGGTTTAGGATGGTTTAGGGTTTAGGGTTTAGGGTTTAGGGTTTAGGGTTTAGGGTTTAGGGTTTAGGGTTTAGGGTTTAGGGTTTAACATTTCGGGTTTAGGGTTTAGGGCTTAGGGCTTAGGGCTTAGGGCTCTTTCAGGGACTCCAAGGTGTGTCCATTGATTCGGGAATGTGAGTTACAGGCCCTACCATGATCTAAGGAACATTCTTTTAACTTGAGGGATTGCGGAGTCCCTGAAGTCAAGGCGTCGTTGCTCTTGCCACACTTCTCAGACCCGAGCCCAAGCACAGCAGCCTGTACCTGCGCTAGTCTGGTGGAAACTTGGTGTGCTGCCAGCTGTTGCTGACAGGGCCGAGTGCAATCAGTGTCTGAGCAGCCGGCATTCGTGGCATCCGGCAAGGCTAGTCAGCAAGAATAGGCATCATGTTTGTCTTTGTCACCACAGGCCGGCATAAACAGAATGAACATGCTTTTTGTTTATCGCGAATATCCCCACACAGGGACACTCCGTATAGCCATCCACCAATATGTAAAGTAGCTAACCCGAAGTACACTCACCAACAACAGTCATATAGGCCCTAATTTCAAAAAAATACATGTATGCTGTATGTCAATATTTAGGAGTCTACGTACAAACATATCTACGTACCACGGTCGTATTTTTATGCCTATCTTTACTTTCTGTATATGGCGGGCTTGCTCCTCATAGTAAACAGTGTCTGCTTGGGCCGCGGAGTCGCGCCGCAAACCCAAGACTACCACTACCCCCACGCCATCGCGACACGAGTATGCAGCAGCTTATAGGGTTCAGGGTTTAAGGGCTCAGGGTGAAGGGTTGAGGGTTGAGAGCTTAGGGATGTAGGGTTTAGGGTCTCTGCATCTGTTGCCTCCTTTTCTGCTCTGTTCCTTACTTTCCGAACCAGCTTCTGCTCCTCGAAGACGATGCTTGACTATCTTTGCCCACACTTTCAGGGTGCCCCGATTTTTTAGGGGGAAGCTTGCCCCAGTGTATCTTGGTAGCCTAGGAACCATATTATGATGAGGGCACCCTTTTTTCTTAGAGAACCCATAACCAAAAAAAAAGGGTAAAGGGTACCACTGGGCTACCAAGGTATTGATTTGCGGCGCTTCAGCCCGCTACCTCCCCCAAAACGGTAAACCCTTGTGCAGAGTGAGTGCAGAAGATCCTCTTTTTTTCATGAGCTGTAGCATCATTGAAGGAACGACCTTGGGAGGGTGGGTAGACTTCATGGCCGTAAGAGTCGGATTCTGAAATCTGCAGTAATCTAGGTTTTGGGTGCATGTAAGGCAAGCTTCCGGGTTCAGGAATTCGGGTCGTTGGTCCTAAGGAATCCCGTTCCTGCTTCGAAGCTGACCAACAAACCTAAGGAGAGCAAGGGCATGTTTTCACTTAAACAGGGGCTGGTGGGCATCCTGGGGTACCCTTGGCCCATGCCTAAACCCTAAACCCTAAACCCTAAACCCTAACCCTAAACCCTAAACCCTAAACCCCAGATGCCACTCCGAGAGGCTCTTGCGGCCGCAATCACTTGCTGCAGTCGGGCACGAAGCCCTTGCTGGCGAAGGGAACCCACTTGCACCTTGCGAGGTGTTGAGGCGCTGGCAGTTCGTGAATCGACTCTCATGCGTCTGTCTGCACTTCAATGCATCAGAAAGCCTATAAGTGCAGACAAGTTATAGGCTCATCGCGTTATAGCCGGACAACGCGATCCGCCAAGCAGCCACAAAAAGGAAAAGGTGCTGATACTGACCGTGTGAGGCTTTCGGTTCGGATGGTTCCGGGCTGTCGGGCTTAAAGGATGCATGATGCGCGACCGACGACGTGCCGCGTTCGTTTCGCGCGCCAGCTCAGGCGTGCAATGTTGTGTGGTTGGCCTGAGAACTTGGTGCCCGAGACAGGCGTAAACGGCGCATACCTTCACCGCTTAAGCCTGTCATTTCTGAACATCCTCCTGCTGCACCACAGATATGCAGAACTTGAATGATGCAGAAGTTCTTGCTGGATGCTACGGGCCGGACCGGCAGCTGTGAAGGCGAAAGAGCCGTACATCCAGTCTTGCTGCAGAATAACCATAATCATCAAACAGGATTAGAACAGAAAAGAAGATTATGATAGTCATACAATCATCAGAAACGGATAATGGCAGAAATAATATGCAGTGTCAGATACTACTCGAAGCATCCAACAATCCAAAATGGCATAGCCGCACAGACCCTAAACCCTAAACCCTACACCCTAAACCCTACACCCTAACAAAAAAGAAAAGAAAGCTCAGCTGCTGACCACTCTGGCTGGCCCGGGGAAACACCAGTCTGCCGAAGACAGGCGCAGGGAGTACAGGGTTCAGGGCTCAGGGTTCAAAAGTTCAAATACCCATAACTACAGAGAATATATATATATATATATATATGTAGATATTGATATGTATACATATATATGTATATATGTATATGTCTGACTATATAGAAGTGTGTGTATAAATGTGTGTGTGTATGTATGTATGTATGTATGTATGTGTATCTATATATAGGGATAAGGGCATATCTGTGGAACCCTTTAATCCAGGGCTTCAAGTTCCACCCCTTAGCACTCCACCCGCACTGTCCAATCCAGCTCAGAACTCCAAATTACCCTTCTTGTTTTTTGCATCCGGGCTCTACGCGATACTCCAAATTGCCCTAAACCCCATAAACCCGCGAGCTCTGCCGGTGAACTGCCCTAAGGCCTAAACCCTGAACCTCAAAAACCTAAACCCTAAACCCTTAAACCCTAAACCCTAAACCCTAAACGCGGACTTCTCTCCCAAACGGAACAGCTTGTGAAGTGTCGGAATCGGAGCTCATGTCCATGCCCTCTATGGGTGGTTGTCAAAATGATGGTCCCTTTTTGGATCCTTATTATACTACGGCACCTGATATTTAGGGTACCCAAAAGGGATCATAATTTTGACAACCGCCCCTATTCAAGTTGCCAAAATGCCGGTTTTTGCAGGCTTTAGGGTTTGGGGCTCAGGGTTTGGGCATATCCCTTTCATTCCGGGAACAGTACTTGGAAACCCCTGTTGACTTAGCAAGTCTGCTTAGTATCCCCTGAACACCCTATTATAATCACAATAACCCACCTTACTCACCCTACTTACTAAGTCACAAGGGCTTCCAAGTAATTCCCCCAACCCGAAACCCTAAACTCTAAACTTAGTAAAACCTAAACCCTGAACCCTGAACTATGTAAACCCTCAACCCTACTGGCTTCGTAGTTGAAGTTCTTTCAACAAGAGACCGGCTCGAATTTGTGCCTGTGGCGGCGGTGTGGCGACCGCGGAGGGAACTGGCCACGGTTTGGAGAGAGCATTTAGGGTTTAATTAGGGTTTATATATAGGCCCCGTGGTACATATGAACTTAATTTGAACTTCTGCTGGACTTCTCTTACATACGTTTAAGTAGGAAATAAGCTGTGTATAAGTTCGAAATAGTTCGAAGGCTTGCTTTCTTTATCGTTTTCATGAACAGCACCCTTTTTTTCGAAAACACGGGCACACGGCTTAGGGCATGGCAGAAAACTATGCCCAGAGATGCAGAGGGACCATTTGCTTCTTGCAAGCATGGCAAGGCGAAACGTGCGAAAACAAGGACAAAACAGGCCAACTCCGCGGACATTGGCATTTTTGCGGACCGGCTCGCGGACACTCGCGGACAGCAGACGACGCCCAATGGTAGTGGCGCAGGGCTGCAAGACCGATTTCTTCAATTTTGGCCGGAATGCATGCGCGAGCCAGGGAAAAAACATCTCAAAATGCAAAACAGATAACTAGAGAGAAGTTCTTTTTAAGTTGCTTTACATAACGTAGATAAGTTCATAAGTCCCGAAATATGTCAAGCAAAAAATGTTGAACTTATCTGGAACTTAATCATATAAAGCAAACTTAACTCCAGGATAAACAACTTAATCGATACAAATCGTATACTTATAGGTCGATAAGTCGGCGGGGCCTATATAGATAGGGCTTAAGGGTTAGGCTAAACACAGGGGCCTTCACGACGAGATAGGTTTGTTATTATTACCGTTTTTTTTTGCGGGGGGGGGGGGGGGGGGTATCCCCAGTATACTTCCATAGGGACCATACGGGAATACTAGCTTTCATTGTTCCGACCCCTCGTTGCCTTTAGGGGCCCCTAGCCTGCTTGAGTTTTTTGTAGGTGCCCTAAGAAGTCAGTAAAATGTTCAGGGTTTGGGGTTTGCAGTTTAGGGTTTCGTCGAGAATCCTGTAAAGTGTCTAGAATATAGAGCCTGCGCAGACAATGCAGGTTCGGGGTTCTGACGGGTTTGGGGTTTAGGGCCTGCACAACCTCGACCGTCCCGTGATTTCACTTGCTTCTCCTATCGCCCCCTAAACCCTAAACCCTAAACCCTACACCCTACACCCTGATTTGGAAGATATTCTTGGGAGGGAGTACAAGGCCGAAACTTGGAGTTGTTTCCTTGCCAATCAGGAAGCCCAGGAAGATGAGTTTGGTAGCCCAGCAACCATCTTCTGAGAATTCTGCTAAGGGCACTTTTCATTATTTTGATTTTTTTTTTTTTTTTTGGGGGGGGGGGGTTGGCTGGCTTTATAAAGGGAACCTCGAAGCAAAAGAAGGGAAAGGGTGCCACTGGGCTACACCGTTAGAGTTCAACTCTCTTTGCCAAGGATGTTCGGGGGCTGTTGTGCACCTGCCGGCCCTTTGGAGTTTCATATTTTTGTCCTGGTCGGAACACCTGTGCAACCGCTAGAGAAAGATGTGCAGATGCTTATTGCGCGAAGAACCAATTATTTTTTTAGTTCCTCAAAAACACTAACCTCTTTCCAGGACTCTCAGGTAAACACCCACACGGAGGGGGTGGGGGGGTGCGAGGGTGAACGGGAATGGGGGAATTCGCCCACTTTTGAAGATCAGGGACTTTTCGAGATCCGGCCTGTCACATTGTCGACAGTGCCACCGCGGCAGTCGGGAACGTAGCCCTTGCTGAGGTTCGGCACCCACTTGCCTGACACTCAAATTGTCCATCCGAAACCCTCTAGATCCTTAGCACACCCAAACCGATCCTCGAAATCAAAACTGCACACCCATCCAACTATTTGCTTGTCATTGCTACAAGAACCTTCCAGAAGAGATTTGGGCCCTAAACGGTAAAGCCTAAACCCTAAAACCTAAACCCTCAACCCTAAACCCAAACCACAAACCCCAAACCCTAAACCCGAAACCCTAAACCCTAAACCCCATTGATGAGGATGAGGGCTTTTTTCGAGCGCATGGCGGGAAACCATTAAAAGAAACCGGGATCCGAGGGGGCGGAGGGTACGTCTTCCCAGAACCGGCAACCCTACATCCTACACAGGGTTTAGGGTTCAGGGTTTAGGGTTTAGGGTCTAGGGTTTAGGGTTTAGGGTTTAGGGTTAGTAGACCCTAAGCCCTACAGTAGCGGGGTTGATCTAAGCTGCTCACGCTTCGCGTTGCCCTCAGGCTACGGGGAATACATTCGAAGGCAGTTCCCTAGTTGCTGAGTACCCTGGGCCAAAAAAGGTTCACCGTTCAAGTATGGTAGGATTAAGCTAACCTTTCAAGTATGGTGGGCTTTTATATATATATATATATATATACACCCCAAATATAGGTTGCCTGGCGCAGCTACTACGATCCACAGGGCCCCTAAACCCTAAACCCTAAACCCTAAACCCTAAACCCTAAACCTGTGTCGCAACATTTTTTAGCCAGGATGCACCATGCCGGCTTTCCGTCCGGCCCAACCTCTGCCTAGCTTCAACTGCTTTAGGGGGGGGGGGGGTTAGGGTTTAGGGCTGAGGGTTTAGGGTTTTAAGGTTTAGGGTTTGGGGTTTGGGGTTTAGGGTAACTGACTTCAGATGAGGTTTAGGTTGGGATCCCTACTGACAGTCCTCAAGAGGGATTCGAATAAGGGGTACCTGGATCCCCCTTAAGGACTGTTACTACAAGGAGGAACATCCCATTGTTCAGGATTTGGGAGCTTAGAGTAGTGCTGCAACAATGTTGGAGAAGCTGCTCACCTTGGGGCGCCTTCGCCACTGGAGAGGAACCCTAAACCCCAAACCCGAAACCAAGGCGACAAATTGCTGGATGCATCCCCACCTCCCAGCATTACATCCCCTATGATATGATATGATGGTACTACACATACTGGCATGATTGCCTTATAAGTTCTACAGCATCTGATATAACATTCCCACCCACCCCCCCTCCCCTACCCCGCCCCCAAACAAAACAACAATTGGGGGCGTCTTGATATGAGGGGATGTGTCCATGCGAACCTGATGAGTCGTTTTCTTGTCGGGTCCCTACATAGTCTGTTTAAACAAAAACCTGACAAGGGACCGGGTTTAGGGTTTAGGGTTTAGGGTTTAGGGTTTAGGGACCCTGCAAGTTTTAAGGGCTTGCACAGACAATGCTGAGTTGAGGGGGCACAACTAAGATCTGCTGAAGGAACCCTCAACATAGTCCCAAAAATGATCCCTGTCAACGATACTTATGATGACTACGCTTAAGCTGCTTAGGGCTCTTTTGAAGCTCGTCCAAGCTTAGGGAACATAGGGTATGGCTTCGTAAAAAATAAAAGCAAGGGTTCCAAGCAGGCGGTGGTCGAGCGCAGGTGCCTAAGCCCTACAGGCTACGGAGTGCGGACTGAAGGCTGACATCTGAAAGTCAACCCTTCAGCAATGTGGCATTTTTCAGTCGTGTCGTACTCTAACGACTTTCTAAGCCTGGGTTTAGGGTTTAGGGTTTAGGGCCTACAGGCCCGTACTTGCCATCAAAGCTCGTCGCTTGGTGCAGGCTTGCCGATCCAGCATGGAGGGACCACAAACCTTGGTCTCAAAGGGGTGTAGGGTTTAGGGTGAAGGGGGGGGGGGGGGGGGGGGGGGGAGGCTTTCGGCTGGACCAGAGCTATATACTTTATACTTTAAACCCTTAAGAGAAGGCTTCCGAAGAATTCTTGCCAACAGATTGCTTCAAGTCACTGAGATGCATCCCAGCGGCTGAACAACCCATGGAATGTAGCCGCACCAGTGCGGCGAGTGCTCCAGCACCTATACATCGGCAAAACATGAATCGTCTCATGGCTTCAAAGCGAAGAATGAAGCAGCGTGTATGTCTGTGCACATACATGTACATAGATATACAAAAATATATATATATATATATATGTGTGTGTGTATGAATGTATGTATTCCAGAATGCACATACGAGAAAAGATATGTATGTAGGCATGGATGTACGTCTGTCCGTCTGTCTGTCCATTTCTCTGTGTGTTTGCGCATGCGTGCGCGTACGTGTGCATGTGCACGGCCATGTACGCGTGCATGGATGGGTCGGTGTGGGTGTGCGCGGTGCAAGTCTGCGCGTGCAACTGTGCATATGTATGGGAAGTGTCATTCCAACGCTGGAAGAAAACTAATGTGCAGATACCCGAACGTCCATTCGGGTTGGTACCGCACGCATGTCTTTGCAAGTAGGTCGGATAGCACTTTTATGCAAACGGGTGCTTAAACAATTCGACGTGTGGGAGGGGAAACCCGGCAAAACACCCAGCAACAAGAAGCCACCACGTGAGGCACCGCCAAGGCTAACATCGCATGTTGATCGCACACGTCTGGCAAAAACCCTACGTAAGCCTAAACCCCAGACCTAGCCCTAAACCCTAAACCCTAAACCCTACACCCTAAACCCTAAACCCTAAACCCTAAACCCTAAACCCTAAACCCTAAACCCTAAACCCTAAACCCTAAACCCTTAAACCCTAAACCCTTAAAACCTAAACCCTAAACCCTAAAGCCTAAAGCCTAAACCCTAAACCCTAAACCCTAAACCCTAACCCTAAACCCTAAACCCTAAACCCTAAACCCTAAACCCTAAACCCTAAACCCTAAACCCTAAACCCTAAACCCTAAACCCTAAACCCTAAACCCTAAACCCTAACTCCAATCCATCCAGCCCCACCTTGCCATAGAAAGTAGCAGAGCCACCTCGCGCCAGCATGCAGAGCATGGGCAAACAAAGCCCCTATGGTTTTCAGCCCCATTTAGGGTTTAGGGTTTAGGGCTAGACCCGGGAGGAACCCATGAATAAAAAGGGTTCCTTTTTTGGTTTTAAGGGGATAATAGGGAACCCCAACCCTAAAAAAAGGAAACAAGGGCCTACTCCCGGTCCTAGCCACAAAGCAGTGGCGATATTCCCTAGAAAAGAAGGGCTTCAAACAAGACTTGCCTTGGACACGCCCACGAAACAGTTGCACAAATAAGGTTTTAGCCCTAAACCCTAAACCCTAAACCCTAAACCCTAAACCCTAAACCCTAAACCCTAAACCCTAAACCCTAAACCCTAAACCCGGATGGTGCCCAGGCTTGCCTGAAAGCGGGAAATTCATGGCGCGTGGCGTTTTGGCCATGATCCGGCGCCTTTTGCTTCAGGCTTGCCCTGAGATACGAGGGGCCCTGACTCAGAGAACTGCCCACATGGCGGCCGTTTTGCTTCTTCCTGCTGCTTCTGTGCATGCACATGGGGTTGGCGGCGTCTGCTTTGAGCAGAGCGAAACCCCAGCACAAGTGCAATTATGCACCACTGCACGTCTCGTAGCTGCGTAGCTTGCCAGCCGCTCGGGTCAGATGGTCATCAACTTTCCTGTGCTCCGACCGAACACCGGAAGCTGCTCTTCATCTTCCAGCCCAGTGTCCTTCTCAAACATGCGGTGAAGGATCGGCAGATACCCGGCGAAATGCTCCTGCATCTCATCGACGCGATCTGAGCGGTACCAGCTGTGGCTTGGGAAGTACTTCTCAGGATTCGTCCTCACCAGCTGCAGGATGCGATCGGCCCAGATCACACAATTCATGTCACCATCCCTCCTCATCGCCATGAGCCGCCAGTAGATGCCCAGCAACACATCCCGAATCTTCTGCTGGTCACACGGCACACCTGCCGGGTGGCTTCTGTTACAGCAGGTGAAGGAGCCTCCTAAGACGTGGAGGATCAACTCATCGGAGAGATCACTCGTCGTGCCGTTGATGACGCTAAGATCTTTCCTTGCTAGCCCAGTAACCATCTTACAAAAAGGGCACCCTTTTTTTTTGCGTTGGCTACTTCATAAGGGAACCCCTAACCCAAAAAAAGGGAAAAGGGTACCACTGGGCTGCCAAGTTTCCCGTCACACATGAATGCCGCCCGCTGCCTCTCCTCCGTATCGCAAGTGCCAGTCTTGAAGCCAAGAAGTTCCTGGGTTGGCCTTTAAGCCACGGTTTAGGGTTTAGGGTTTAGGGTTTAGGGTTTCGGGTTTCGGGTTTAGGGGGTCCCTTATCAACCCAAATAAGGAAAATAACAAAATATGTCCCAAAAACCAACCTCGGTTCTAGCCTACACCAGCCCCGGGAAGAGTACGTGTGCATGTTGAGCTCTGATCCGGTGTCTGAATGCTTGCAACATGGAGCCACGGACACCAGCGACGAGCACACGGAGGCATACACCGCCAAGGAGTTGATGGCTGCCTGCTGCTGAAAGCTGTTCGCCTGAGGGATGGATATGTAGTCCACCCAGATGTAGCCACACTTAAGGCCCTCCTGCTGCAACCTCCTGATGGCCACAAGTATGGCCTCGTAGTGAACGTTCTGGGGGTCGGGGTGGTCGAAGCTCGTCCACTGGTGGCTGATGAAGACAACGCCCGAAAGCTGGGCGATTTCAATAACGTCTTCTGGACAATCAAAGCAACTGAGCTTCTCGGCATCCCGCGCAACTTCATGACACATCAGCCCGCCCATCGCCAGGAAGTCGCACAGCTCCACCAGATACATTGGGCATTGAAAGGTGTTCAAGGTGTGCACGGCACTTTCGATGGCCAGTTTCTTCTGCTCCTTGAGATATCTTGCCAGGCCCTGCAGCTTCATGGCCTCCTTCCGCAGCGCGAACAGGATGTAGACGCCCAGAAGGACGCCCAGCATCGCTGTGAGTGGCAGTACCAAGAGGAGCTGCCTCCAGAAATCGTCCGAGACCACCGGCCACCCCTCCCTCGGCGCGACCTTCAGGATCCAGCGAAACCCGAACTCTTCCACGGCCACGTCCACCTGCACCGAGTCAATCAGCGCCTCCGTGCTCGAGGAGCGCTGCCAGATGCCGTCTGAAAGTGAAGGGTGTGGGCTGGGATCTGAGAGCTCGTAGGCAAACTGCGAGATGCCCGCCACACCTCCTTCTCCTGCCCTCTCTAGTGAGGCCAGGGAGGACGTGGCAAGAAAGTCCTCGATGCGAGCTACCATAGTGACAAAGCCCCAGAAGTAGGTGGGGTCGCCACTCGGATCCGGTGGCCCGGGAAAGGAGCACTCTTCTTCGACGCGCGACGCTGCTCTGGAGCAGATTCTGCTGTGGTTCACACCGTCCTTGTCCACAAACCACTCATCTGGCAGGTACTTCGGGGCCCAGCGGGAGAAGATGGGCCGCCGTGCAATGGCAGCTACTCCGCCTTGCATGAGCTGCATGGGCCCACTCACTAAGGTGGTCCCTGACTGAATGGAAGCGAGTGCAAAGTCCACCATGGCTGGGTCCAAGAGAAGCGCCAGTCCCAAGGCACCTCGATTGTCTTGGCTTGAATCTACCAGTGGGTAGATGCGCTGGATTGTTCCAAAGGGCGCTAACTGCAAGTTTGAGATGCCCCTGTAGGTTTCAATCAAGGTCTTCGCCAGTCGATCGAAGTCTGCTGTGCCAGAGCTGCACTCATCGATCTGCAGAATTGCATCAAGTGCTTGGAGGCTGCTGACAGATGTACGCAGCTGGCGGGTGATGTCAGCAGCCTGCCTCTCGGCAAGGTAGTTGACAGACTCGCGCGCATTTCTCAGCAGGGAAGCATCCGATGACCTCAGGTTGTAGATGCTGACGCCGACGATGGCGATGATGATGGTGAGCACACCCCAGAACTTCCGCCACCGCATCCACAAGGGGATCTTCCGCTTCGGCTGGGAAGTGACGGAAGGCAGCTTGTTCATTGCCAGGCTCGAAAAAGACCCTGTCGAGTGCATCACCACAAGATCATCGTCAACGTCGGACTTGCTCCGTGCAAGCGAGGCAATGAAGCCGCGCGATTGCCGGGGCACAGCGTCGAAACTGCGGGATCTGGATTGCATGGTGGAATTTCTCCGAACAACGTGACTCACCACGGGAGTCTCTCGAATCGAAGAGCGTATTGAGGGTCGGGGGGTCGCCATGATGAGTCGCAACGCTTGGAGGGTCTCTCCTGCACCTACGACGTCGGAATGACAACAAGAATACATTGTGCATGACACGTTCAGTTGCTATCACCATTCTATTGTATTCTGTTCTGTGCTATTCTGCTCTGTTCTCCTCTGTTCTATTTATGCCCTATAGCAAAATTAGACACCTGCAAGGCTCTCGGCTTCGTAGGACCCCGGAATGACTCCCCTCTGAAAAACTCCCTCAACCCCCCACAAACTCTTTGGAGTTTATGGGGTTTAGGGTAGGGGCCGACGAGACCTGTGATCCAAAAAGGTTCAATATCGGAACGGATGTTGAGCCAGTGGGGGCTTTGTGCTTTGAATCTGGTCCCTGACCTTCTTTAAGAGTTCTGATGTATGGGCCCTTGGGTTGGGGAGGGGGGAGCTTTGGTAAAGGAACCGGACGGGTGCCACCACACCCACTCGGGGCTTTCGACTCTGACACTGGCACAGGCCGTGAGGCATTTGAGGGCCTTCAGGTTTCAGTTGGTTTAGGGCTCGCAGGGTTTATCCTCCTGGTTCTTAGTAGGGAATGAAGGGATTAAGTACCTTGTGTCCCCCTAGATGTCCCCCTTGCGGGATGATGCAGGGTGCCTCATTCCCTCATCCCTACTAAGAACCACTATGTTCTACTTGGAGGTTCATGGTACTTATTAAACCAATAACAACTCTACTAAAAACTCCCTTAAGTGACCTAGTATGGTCGTAGTTGGGCTATAAGTACAGTTATTATTGGGTTTAAACAGTACAGTTGTTATTGGGTTCATAAGTACCATGAACCACCACGTAGTGTCTATGGGGTGGAGGATTTAGTCACAACTCCCAAACTAATAGGGTTTTGGGGTGTAGGGTGTTCCTGGGACCCTCTTTACCTAAAGTTCTCTGGGACAGTTACTACGAAACTGTAGGTAAAGAGAGTCCCAGGCAACGTTTAGGGTTTAGGGTTTAGGGTTTAGGGTTTGGGGTTTGGGGTTTAGGGTTGGGGTTTGCTGTTTGGGGTTTAGGGTTGGGGTTTAGGGTTTGGGGTTTAGGGTTTGGGGTTTAGGGTTTGCGCCCTGTTTCCAACTACGATTGCTGCCTCTCGCAGTCCCCAGTATAGGAAGCCTCTGAACTTCAAGTACGTATGCGTATATATCTCTATATGTGAGGGTTTAGGGTTCAGGGTTTAGGGTTTTAGGGGAATACATAATACATAACGTAATGCATGCATTTATATAAGAGCTGGGAAGCTGTGGCCCTGCTTGCAACGTTAAGAGCGGGCTTACCTGAGAAGGCTCGAAAGTGGTTCCTTCTTGGGTTTAGGGTTTATGCCTAAAACCTAAACCCGAAGGTATACCGCACAGGACACCACACAGGGCACTCAATGAGTCGACCTAATGAAGCCAACTGCGGCATTACGAGTCGCCTTCCGCATCCACGGCGGCCAGGCTCGCAGCCGGACGCCAAGCAAAATTTGCCTGCCATAAAGCCACCCTAAGGGTTTAGGGTTTAGGGTTTAGGGTTTAGGGTTTAGGGCCCCCCTAAACTTCTGGGATGGCCCTTAAAACCCTCTCAAGATCTATTCCTGAATATGATCCTCTTAAATTCAACCCAACTAAGGGAAAATCCTGGACTTTAAGCCCCTCTGGGACCCTCAACAGCGACCTTACCGGGTTTAGGGACATGAGGGTTTAGGGTTTAGGGTTTAGGGTCCGGAAATTGACCAGGCACGTTGCCTCAAGCGCGTTCTGTAACACTTGTGGTCACTTACTTCTGAACAGCTTTCCTGATTTGGAGTCTGAAGCTCTTGCTGCCTAGGCTTGAACGAGGGGAAATCTGACACCAATCCCGAACACCAGCCCAGCTTGCTTCACACCGCGCACCTTCACGATAAACCCTAAACTTATGGGATGTTCCCCCTTATACTAACCCCCCTTATACTAACAGTCCTGAACAGGGATAATAGCACCTCCCCTGCTATTACCCCTATTGAGGGCTTTTAGTATATGGGGGAACATCCCAACCTAAACCGGGTTCAGGCCACATGCCAAGATGCCAGGAGTCCCCGACCCCTAAGGGATTAGGGTTGAGGGCTTTAGGGTTTTAGGGTTTAGGGTTTCGGGAACTACCCCAAGGACTTCGAAAAGAGGAGAAGGGGCAAGTCGGCTGGGACCGGCAGATTCTGGGCCCAGCTACGTCTACTTGGAGAAGAAATGTTTAACTGTACTTATAATCCACTGACTGTTAGGCCCCTTAAGTGCCCTAAGATGGTGATAATTGGGTTACAAGTACAGATATCTTCTTGGGTTAACAAGTACCATGAACCTCCAAGTATGGGCCCAGATACGTTTAGGGGTTTAGGCTTTAGTTTTCAGGACTTATAAGGGTCGAGGTTCCCTCTGTCCCCACAACACTCCTCCAGAGACACACGCCGAACACCCTCCGCCCCACCTCCGATGGGTTTAGGGTTAAGGGTTTAGGTTTTAGGGTTTAGAGTAAATCCGAAGCCGCGCAGTTTCTTCCTTTGGAACAAAAGGGCTGATGGCGCTGTGCCTGTCGCGTAGCAGCCCACTCCTTGCGCAGCTTGTGGAAAGGATTCTGTTTGCTGGAGATCTCACTCGGGGTTTCGTGTCTAGGCGCAATGCCCACTTCCATGAATAGCTGGTATGGCAACGAGGACGGTTTCCCTGAACTTGCTTCCTCAACCCCGAACCGCTAACCCTAAACCCTAAACCCTAAAAACCCTGCTTGAATTGCCATAAGATAAGTAGCCTGAAGTGATCGGACTCCATGACTGTGAGGGGTGAAAGCAGAGCAAGGGCCTACAACTCAGGGCTTCCGACAAATGTGCGCAGGGATGTGGGGCAGCAGCGTCATAAGAGACAACAGTAGGGAGTATCTTATTGGGGTCCTTGAAAAGGGGATCCTACTATTCGGGGATCTATATTCGGGGTCCCTCATTTCGTGAGCCCCCATATTGCGAGGGCCTCGGAAAAGAAAATGGATGAACGACGTGGCATGCCATCTTTGGCTTGCACTGGCTGTTTCATTGTAGGGAATCAGGGAATGAGGTACCCTGCATGAAGGGTATTTATATATGTAAATAAATATACTAGGATGGCCCTTAGGACCCTCCGAAAAATATTCCTAAACATCTTTCTCTTAAACCCAATAAGGGAAAATTTAAAATGTCCCAAGGGCCTACCGAGTATATAGGGCCCTAATTCCGTCATTCCCTGGTAAGGGTTTAGGGTTTAGGGTTTAGGGTTTAGGGTTTAGGGTTTAGGGTTTAGGGTTTAGGGTTTAGGGTATAGGGCCCTAATTCCGTCATAAGAGCCGGGGGGGGGGGGGGTCGAGGATTCTGGAGGTTCGCCATTGAGGGAAGTCAGGGGCGTTCGGCTCTTTGAGGCCGCCGGGGGCTTCACCGCAATCACTCTGAGCCCTAAACCCTAACCCCTAACCCCTAACCCGTAACCCCTAACCCCTAACCCCTAACCCCTAAACCCCTAAACCCTAAACCCTCAACCCCACACCTTTTGTGTATCTTTGTGCTCGAAGCTTCCAGCGCTGTTCGCTGTGGGCGGTCGCATCACACCTCGCTCTTGGAGCCCTGAGGAGTTCTATGCCAGGGGATCACCTTAAGTGCCCAACAGCCGACACGTGGGGGTTTAGGGTTTACGGTTTGGGGTTTGGGGTTTGGGGTTTGGGGTTTAGGGTTTAGGGTTTAGGGTTGTATCTAGGGTGCTATTTTTGGGGGTCCCCTATATTTTCGTAAACCCCCACATGTGTTTGGAAGGTCTAAATGCAAATCGTCTTGTGGGATTCCCCGGTGCCCTACAAACGGCACACGGGGACGTACGTGTTGAATAGAAATCGCAGAAGCGGATTCCTCCGGGGCACACTCCTTGCAAACAAGATACACGCCCTATTGAACTTTAGGGTTTACGGTTTAGGGTTTCGGGTTTCGGGTTTCGGGCCCTGGCGGCATTTCACTAAGCATGTGTGGCGCTGCCGGCATATGAGAAACTTGGCTTGCAGCTGTTGAAACCATCTATCACCCCGAAACGAAACCCTGCTCACACCCTAAACAAGTTCATGGTTGGGATAGTAATAAAAATTTAAGCGTCTGTTCCTTATTGAGTTTTAACGACCCTTAACAATGCAAATTGTTACCCCACTATGACATAGTAAACCCTAAACCCTAAACCCTAAACCCTTTTGCAACTGGACTGCTTGCTGCCCTAAACCCTAAACCCTAAACCCTAAACCCTAAACCCTAAACCCTGAACCCTGAACCCTAAACCCTAAACCCTAAACCCCCAAACCTTTGCAAGGAGGGTGCCCACTGCGTGCCACCTGGCTGTGGCGGGCCCAGGGCATGCGCTCGCAACGGCGACTCCCGAAGTTCACATGCGTAAACTGGCGTAAACCCTACATAAGAGGGTTCTTAAGGGAGGGCTTAGGGTTTAGGGTTTAGGGTTGAGGGTTAGGGATAGGTACTTGGGGAACTGGGAGCCTTAAGGAGTATCAGGGCGCAATTAGGAACCTTGGGTTACATACCCCCCTTGAACACCCTCCCTTAAGAACCCTATAACTACTTGCCAGCCACGGGCCCACACATTGCCCTGACACGTCGTCCGGTCCACTTTGGCTCGCGGAGACAAGAATTTGGACTGAGGTGGAGACTCCACCCTTAAAGGGGCAGCCCCCTATCTTGAAAACTTCGATGGTGGCATAGCATGGTAGAGTTAAGTATATATAGCATGAGAGTCATGCATAGCAAGCTAATGTTATGGACCCGAAACGGTCGACGAGGGATTGGCCTGGGGCTGCAGGCCCTTACATCCCCATGACAGCCAACCACACAACGCACACAATGAACAAAGCCACGATGTATATGTAACGGAAGGCGATGTCCACCTTGGTAGCCCAGTAACCCAAAAGAGCACCCGTTTTTTTTGGCTACTTTACTAGGGAACCCCTGAACCAAAAAAACGGGGAAAGGGTACCACTGGGCTACCCAAGCCACTTGAATAGAGGGGGGGCGCTCCCAGTAGGTGATGGTAAAGGGCGTTCCCGGCAGGTAATCGTTGAGGTCCATCAGCAGGCGGTGGAAGTCTGCTTTCTGAAGTGACTCGCCCTCCACGCCCAGCCGGAAGAACATCCGATTGACCTGATCAAAGCTTAGGTACTGTCCCAACTTTCGGAAGCCGAGCTGAATCTCATGCTTGTTGATGCAGCCGGACAGGTCTGCGTCAAAGAGCTTGTAGACTTCGTGGACCTGCTCCGGGCTCTTCTCCAAGACGATGATGGTGCCCTGCTTGTCCACCTTCTCTTCAGCCGGGTCGGTCGCTGCATGCTTCACGGCGTGGTTGTCTAGCTTCATGGCTGCGGCCATCTGCTTCATCGCCTCGAACTTTCGGACTCTGTGAGCTTCGATGGTCATGAGCCAGGACACTACACCATACTCAACAACGACGGACAAGGTGAAGAGCTTGATGGTAAAGAGGTAGCTTGTGAGCCAGGTCATGTAGTTCAAGGGCGGCAGCTGGGACGTCACGCTGCTCTCCAAGTTCAACATGATCAACACCTGGGCGGTTTAGGCTTCCTACCTTTGGAGTAGACCCTGGAAAGAAAGTATATACTTTTTAGGTATAAGTAGCTATTATAGGAACCCAGAACCAAAAAAAGTATTAAAGTACAGTACTCCAAAACCCAGGTTTAGGGTTTAGGGTTTAGGGTTTAGGGTTTAGGGTTTAGGGTTTAGGGTTTAGGGTTTAGGGTTTAGGGTTTAGGGTTTAGGGTTGTCCGTCTCAAGGTTCCTGGGAAAGTATGGTCCGAGGCACCTTTGCTTCGGGAGTACTTGGGCCCAAAAAACCCGAAACACTTTATACCCACTTCCCACAAGGTCCATTCCTAGGGCTTAGGGTTTAGGGTTTAGGGTTTAGGGTGATTTTGGAAGTACCTGAAGCCTAAGCTGTGTGGAACCCAGACTGGACTGCTCGCTGGGCAGCGGCCCTGCACCTCAAGCGCCAAACCCTAAACCCTGAACGGTTTAGGGTTTAGGGTTTAGGGTTTAGGGTGTGGGGTTTAGGGTTCAGGGTTTAGGGTTTAGGGTTTAGGGTTTAGGGTTTAGGGTTTAGGGTTTAGGGTTTAGGGTTTAGGGTTTAGGGTTTAGGGTTTAGGGTTTAGGGTTTAGGGTTTAGGGTTTAGGGTTTAGGGTTTAGGGCTAAACCCTGAAACCCCACCATTGCCGGTGCAGGCGCCGGGATGACTGCGATCGCCACACGCGCAGGAGCGGCGCTCGGGTTAATAAAGAGCCCGACCCAAGAGACGATGCCGAAGGCGAAGCCTAATGAAGGTCTTTTGGGGCTCCGGGGCTGCAGGGTTTAGGGTGTAGGGTTTAGGGTTAGGGTTTAGGGTTTAGGGTTTAGGGTTCAGGGAAGGCGAAGCCTAATGAAGGTCTTTGGGGGCTCCGGGGCCTCAGGGCCACTGCAGGGTTTAGGTGTTTTTTTTGTTTTATCACCCGCGCTGCACATGTCAAAGCACCCGCTCCACAGGGACAAAGTCGTTTAGGGGTTTAGGGTTTAGGGGTTTGGGAGCTCAGGGTGTAGGAGGTCTGTGGGCTCAGGGCTTGGGGTTGAGGATTTGGGGAGTGTAGGGTCTGAGTCTAGGTGTTACTTACTGTAAACCCACTTTGTCGCATATGGCATGGTTCAACTAGAGTTTAGGGTGTAATGAGGGCTGAAATAGGGTTGCGCGGTTTAGGATGTAATTAGGGTGTAGAGGTTAATCGTTGGCTTAGGATTTGGCATGGTGCCCTGGGTGGGGACATAGACTGTACTGTGTGATCCGCATCCTTGCATTTAGCTTCACCGAGCTCTAGACCTTGCATTCTCACACACGCGCGCACATGCACATGATACATGCGTCCGAGCAAGCACACGCACATGCAAACACGCATGTTGGGCCATTTGCTCGGTACCTTCATTCTATACCTTCTTCTTGTAAAGCTTCCCATTCGCCTATATAAACCCTAAAACCCTAAAACCCTAAACCCTAAACCCTTTTGGGGGTTCTACTTTTTGGGGTCCTCCCAGGGGGCTGGGATCTTCTGCACGAACCTAAACTTGATCAGGGTCGCATGTGAAGAAGACGAAGACCATGAAGGCATTGGGCCGACGTTCCAGCGTTATGTAGATCCACACCTCTGTTGAAGCAGGGCTCGGTTGCCTTTAAAGGCTTAAGATGAGGTATAGGGTGTAGGTTGTCATAGGCATACATGGATCGTTCAAACTTGAAGAACATACCCTAACACAAAACGGACATTCATGGCTCAGCACCCTAAACCCCAGACCCTAGACCCTAAACCCACCCCACAGAAACAAAAGGATGCATTCCAGAAGCAGCCCGGAGACATACTTGTAACCTTGGCGGTTCGCACCGACACCAAACCACTCCGTTGTCACCTGTCACGTGGCGTTTAGGGTCTAGGGTTTAGGGTTTAGGGTTTAGGGTTTATAGGGTTTAGGGTTTAGGGGCCGGTGCCTTGGGCAAGTGATGACAGCGAGCAGCTTCTACACAAGGACGATTAGTGCCCAAACGCCAAGATCGGAAACCTGAATACCTATCAGGCCTCCGACTCATGCAACCTTTCCGCACCCTGTGAACTCAACCCTGTGCTGCTCCAGGTCTCTCGTGGCCCTAAACCCTAAACCCTAAACCCTAAACCCTAAACCCGAAGCCCAGTTGCCCCAAAAAGCCCCCCAAGCCGCACCTCCCATTCCACAGCCCCCAGCTTCCATTCCTAGGCTGCCAAGTAACCAAGGCTTCAAAAGGGTGCCCTTTTTTTGCTTAAAGGGGTTTAGGGTTTAGGGTTTATAAGGGAACCTAACCCCCCCCCCCCCCCCAAAAAAAAGGGAATAAGGGTACTACTGGGCATCCTAGATTCCGTCGTACCGGTGTACCCTTCCGGCAGGACGACGGCACCGTTGCTGAAGGCACCTAGGGTTCGGGTTCGGGGTTTGAGGTTTGGGGTTTGGGTTGGGGTGACGAAAAAGTGTGCGCTTGTGTATATATATATATACACTGATGTGTTTATTTACTTACTGATATATTTACAACTACTTAGTTATGTATGTACTGATGGGTTCATGTTGTTGAGAATGCGCTGACGCTTTTGTGTGTTGGGAAGACATACAATCCAATCCTACACTTTACGCTGGAGACCATCAGAAGAGTGTTTGTTGAAGCGGACCCCTAAACCCAACCCCTAACCCCCTAAACCCTTAAGCCTTACACCCTAAACACCCTAAACCCTTAAGCCTTACACCCCTAAACACCCTAAACCCTTAAGCCTTACACCCTAAACCCTTGAGCCCTAAGTCGCGCTTGCTTGCTACAGACTGATCCCCCACAGGGCCTGCGTTGATGTGGTCGATGTCCCAAGAGTAGGACGACATCTGAACCTGGGTAGCCCAAACCCTAAACCCCAAACCCTAAACCCCAAACCCTAAACCCTAAACCCTAAACCCTAAACCCTAGACCCTAAACTCCCCCCAAAAAAGGGGTAAGGGTACCAAACTGGACTGCCAAGGAACAAAGCACCGCTGCTTGTCGAAGGGCAAGGCGTGGAATTCCATGGGGCAGCGCAACTTGTGATTGAAGCGTGCCGACCTCCAAGGGACTAACTGAGGGGCCCTTTCTCAGGGACCTTTTAGGGGTGATTTAGGTGCTACTTCGGTTTGAAGGGCCTAAAGGAGGGGGCCCTTATCAGGGACCTGAGGGGGCCTGAGGGGTGATTTAGGGGCTATTTGGGGGCTGCCTAGGTATACAGGGGCTGTACAAGGTATGTATGGGGGTTCTATAATTCGGGGAATAAGACACAGGGTCCCTTCTAGGGGTACCTCCTTTTACCCCTTTAGGGACCTCCAAGCCCGGCCGTCCGGGTACAGCACCAAGGACCCGGCACCATACCACTCGTCCAGCGTGTTGTCGACATAAATGTCCGGCTGCCACACCTTGGTAGCCCGGTTTTTTCACTCCTGCACAGTTTGGGGTTTTAGGGTTTAGGGTTTTGGTTGCTTTAATTCTAAGGGAACCCAGAACCAGAAGAAAGGGGTAAAGGGTACCACGAGGCGACCAAGACGCAGATGGGGCCGGGAGCTGCAACGTGATCTTGCCACAGTCATCGCCCGAGGCAAGCCGAGGGTCCATCCACTCCCAGCGAAAGTAGCCCTCGACGGCGAGCTGCTGCCCCTGCTGACTTGTTGGTTGATGAGTAGGGAAGGAAGGAGGTACCCTGTAGAATCCCTTGAATGGTATCTATACATACATATATATATATATGTATGTATATATATATATATATATGTGGGGCCCGAACTCCCTCATTTAAGCCTTCTGATCGACGTTGGCAATGGCAGCGATGTACATCTGTATGGAGACATTCACCGCTTGTGGCCGGCCCTGGTTTGGTCGAGAGTTTCTGTCATACTTCGGCCAAGCTGTCCTTAGTTTTGGTGCATGTTGAACCCTTCGAAAATGATCTACGAGTCGGTTCCCTTCTAAGGAAAGAAGGGCAATTAAGAGTCATCCCTAAACCCTAAACCCTAAACCCTAAACCCTAAACCCTAAACCCTGAACCCTGAACCCTAAACCCTAAACCCTCAACCAGCACAACCCGGTGTCAAGTTCTCGAGCCGCTCTGTTTGGGACTCACACTGGGCGAGCGAGCCGATGACCGCACCGCTGAGCACGAGCAGCTGCAAGAGCTGCTGCATTGCGGCAACTACAGCTGCCAGGCACCCCTTCCCTGCTCCAAACCCTAAACCCTAAGCCCTAAACCCTAAACCCTAAACCCTAAACCCTAAACCCTAAACCCCTAAACCCTAAGCATCGAACCGGAAGCCTGTGCATGGAAGCCAAGCCTTGAGCCAACTGCGAAGGGGTCCTGTACTTGGAGGTTCAAAGGGGCTAGGGTTTAGGGTTTAGGGTTTAGGGTTTAGGGTTTAGGGTTTAGGGTTTAGGGTTTAGGGTTTAGGGTTTAGGGTTTAGGGTTTCGGGTTTAGGTTCTACTTGGAGGTTCATGGTACTTATTAACCAATTATAACTGTAGATATAACCCACTTACAAGCCCCTTTAGTGCCCTGACATGCTGATAAGTACAGTTATAAGTACAGTTCTAATTGGTGAATAAGCACCATGAACCTCCAAGTAGGCATGGCTGCAGCATGGACATGCCACGTGGCGTGCACCGCAGTGTGCTGTTTTGTAGGGTTTAGGGTTTAGGGTTTAGGGTGTAGGGTTGATAGGGTTTAGGGCTACTGGGGTGAAGTTGCGCACCACCGAGTTGAATCTGAAACCGCTTGCGGACCTCGTTGAGTAGTAGGCCCGGAGAGCAGTCTGGCGAGCTCTTCTTGTGATCCTCCGGGATGTACTTGCACCTCTGGGCGCAGCAGTTCAAGAGTTGGGAGGGGCTTTCATGGTTTCGGGCTTCTCTATGGCCATATTATGCCCGCATGCGTGAATAGAAAGGGCGCCCTTCTTGATGCAAACTTGCAAACCAGGACTAGCTTAAGGAAGCTTGCAGAATGGGAGCTAACCCAGCCAGCGTAGCCAGCAGCTCAAGCGAAGCGATTGCCCTGTATGATTCTCCGGACAGATACCCATCTGCCGGCCCTGTGGTCTATCCTTTCAGAGAATCACCCGCGCTTTGAGCGTGCGCTGCTGTCCAGGGGCTGAACCCCTCATTGATAATTTCATGGCCTCCAGCCCGAGTAACTGAAAAGCTCAGTCTCTGCTTCGTGGTAAAAGTCCAGCAGGCGCCCTTCTCCCTAAACCCTAAACCCTAAACCCTAAACCCTTCTCCCAACCTCCTTCTAGGAGCGCCTCATGAAACTCAGCAGCAGCATCGCATGTACGGAAAGCTCCCACTGCTGCTGACACCCAGGCACAGAGTGGGCCGAGCAGCGGGGCGAGAACTGGGCAACGCGCCAGGGCAAATGCCCCAGCAAAGCACGGAAGCCCACCACGCGTACCCGAAGAGTTCAATACCGCTTAATTTCGGAATGTACACCTAAATCATATTAAGGATCCCTATATGAACTAAGGATATGAATTAAGGTATAATGGTATAATTATAATCCTTAACTAAGGGGTATTGGTTCCCGACGACGTGGGCAATCGAAGCGCTGATCCAGCCATGGCGCCTCGCCATCCAGTCATCAGTGACAGTTCAAAGCCCTAAACCCCAAACCCCAAACCCCAAACCCTAAACCCTAAACCCTAAACCCTAAACCCTAAACCCCTAACCCTAAACCCTAAACCCTAAACCCTGAACCGCAGCCCTGAACATCTCTTCCAGTGGCAACCCGTAGTAAACATCTCTGTCGCGAGATTTTCCCGAAGCCCAATCTTCGTAATAAGCCCTCAACCCTTTTCTGTTGAACTCTACCGGGTTTAGGGTTTAGGGTTAGGGTTTGGGGCTAAACCCTGAACCTTGAACCCTGAACCCTCAGCCCTAAACCCGAAACCCAAAAGGGCTTTTACAACGCGGTCCAAGCTTAGAAACCAAGGTCATTCAGGGGCCTCCCTCTAGGACATCCCGTATTCAGGAAGGTCCGATCCTCAGGGTTCATAGGGTTCATAAGGTTTAGGATTTAGGTTTGTTGGGCAATACCTGAACCCTAAACCCTAATAGGGGGTCTTAGTAAGAACCCTTGCTATGACTACCCATGAACCTTCAAGAGACCTAAGCCCGGGTTCACTTGGGTCGTTTTGGGGTCCCCATATAGCACGGCACCTTATAACACGGATGTAGAAGAGGCCCGGCTTTCGAGAACCACTCAGTTAAGCAATTATACGTTCCGTAAGGGAGTTCCCAGGGCAGGGTGCCGTTCGCAAGACTTCCACAAGGGCTGCTAAGGGCACTGAGGGCTATAAAAAGGTTTAGGGTTTAGGGTTTAGGGCTTAGGGAGGGGACATGACATGGGCCCAGCACAATTTTGCTTTGAGGTTTCCAGCGTTTTAGGGCATGGGGGAGGGGCAGCTACATTGTTAAGGCCCAATCTCCTTTATTCCCTAGAAGGCTTCCTACGTAAGCTCCCCTAAGGTTCCCTAGGTACCTCCCCCCCATGACCCCCCCTAAACCCTAAACCCTAAACCCTAAACCCCAAACCCTAAACCCCCTCCCTTAAGAATTCGAAAACTCCTCCCAGCCCCGAGCACCACTCCGGGGGCGAGCCCTTCCTGGCTGGCTGCGGCGCGTATGGTGAAGCACCTGCCGGTCGGGAGACTCCGGTAGGGTTTAGGGTTAGGGTTTAGCGTTTAGGGTTTAGGGTTTAGGGTCTAGGGTCTAGGGTCTAGGGTCTAGGGTCTAGGGTCTAGGGTCTAGGGTCTAGGGTCTAGGGTTTAGGGTTTAGGGTTTCGGGTTTAGGGTTTAGGGTTTAGGGTTTAGGGTTTAGGGTTTAGGGTTTGGGTTTAGGGTTTAGGGTTTAGGGTTTAGGGTTTAGGGTTTAGGGTTTAGGGTTTAGGGTTTAGGGTTTAGGGTTTAGGGTTTAGGGTTTAGGTTTAAGGGTTTAGGGTTTAGGGTTTAGGGTTTAGGGTTTAGGGTTTAGGGTTTAGGGTTTAGGGTTTAGGGTTTAGGGTTTAGGGTTTAGGGTTTAGGGTTTAGGGTTTAGGGTTTAGGGTTTAGGGTTTAGGGTTTGGGGAGACAAATCCAAGGAACATTAAGGGTAAGGTCCCGGTACCCTTTAGGGTTTAGGGTTAGCTTTCCTACTGTAGAGCCTACTTATATGGATGCCTATGAACCATAAGCTGGTTAGAGTTCACCGAGTGCCCACGGCGTTCTCCGTGCATCGTGAACGCTCAGTTTGCCTGAAATCCCTATTGCCCTGCCCTGGAAAACTAAGATATCCAGCACTTCAACACAAAGCTTGGCCCGAGTAGCCTAGCAGGAAACTGGACACCCTTGCACAAACAGTTCTCCACGCAAGTTCACACATTTGATTCAGAACGACCCTCCCGCCAAAACGGTCCTTTGTGGCCTCCCTTCATATCCCTATGTGTCGTCTGTCCAGAATCTTCTCCTTCGTCGCTGTCTCGTCTCCCTTGAGCGACAGATCGTGTGAAGCGACCCCGGCGTTTGACCCCAATGCTTACATACATACATACATACATACATATATATATATATATACATATATTCATCTGTTTATTCATATGTATATGCGTGCGTGAACATGCCGTGAAAATGAATATTCGCATTAACACTAATAAATAAGCACATTCTTGTCCCCCTTCTGGAGCCAGAACCGGGTCGTGCCACGAGCCCTCGGTCTTGTCGGCGGGTTAACGTCCCCTCAGAAGTAATTAGAAGTGGCACCCCCCAGAATGTACCAACAGTTTAAGAACTCATCACCTAAGTGAAGTATTCTTCCACGCAGGCTTACGCTGCTTGGGGGTCTACGCTGGTAGGCCTCAAGCTCTTCGGCCCAAACCCGAAACCCTAAATCACAGCCCCAACGAGCGCAAAGAAGTGCGTGCATCTTGGGCCCGCAGCCAGCCAGACAGCATCCTAAGCTTCTAAGTCCTTTGTACATCAGAACCCTGCAAAAACCCAAACAGAATGTTTCACAACTCTATAAAAGAGGTTAAAACCTAAAAGGCCCGTAAAACCCATCAAAGAATGACAAAGAATGACAAAGAATGACAAAAAAACAATAATTGTGAAAGCCCTGTAACAAGCCCTGTAGTATACTAAAAAACACTAAAACCCCTAACAAGCTAATTTTGACAAACCAATACTCACAACCCCAAAAAAAAGAAAAGAAAAACATGTACAAAAAAAACAACTAAAACCCTAAAAAGTTACGAAGCAAGGCCGGACAATGCCGGCCTTCGGGCTTGGCGCAGTCCTTCACCTTGGGGGTTTAGGGTTTAGGGCTTCTGCAGCACCATCTCCGAAGGGATTAGGGTTTAGGGTTTAGGATTTAGGGCGATTTCCGGTAGGAGCGTGGCTCCGGCTTCGGTGCTTTCGTGGGCTTCGGACGGAAAGGTGAGGAGTTCGGGTCTTGATCTTGCAGGACCCCAGACCCCTGGGAGGATCCAAAAAGTAGACCCCCCAAATGGTACCCTATACTACTAACTACTATTGAGTAATTCTTAGGAACCCTTTTAGGGGATCTACTTTTTGGACCCTTTTGGGGGTCTGGGACTGAGGTACCTTTGCGACTTTGGGGCTTTAAAGTAAGGACGTTCCCCCCTATACTCGCAGTCTTTGATAGGATGATAATCGGGGGTACTACAATCCCGATTAAGGACTGTCAGTATAAGGGAGAATATCCCAACTTTTAAAGGGTTTAGAGAGGTTTTTGGACTTCGGATTGGTGTTCTGTTCTGATTGCGACTGGAGGGCTTCTGATTACATGCAAAAAATGCCCCCAAATCCTTGGCATCCGCCCCGCAAACCTTGAGCCCCAAGCCCTCTGCGGAAAGAAGGCCGGGGACACTCCTCCTTCCGGATCCTAAGGTCTTGCTGAGGTCCTGGTGCTCCCATCTTTGATTACTACTACTACTACTACGACGACGACTACTACTACGACGATGACGACGACGACCACTACTATTACTACTACTACTACTACTACTACTACTACTACTACTACTACTACTACTACTACTACTACTACTACTACTACTACTACTACTACTACTACTACTACTACTTGTCGGCTCATACATACTTACTTGCTTTCGAATTCTGATAGACTATACATCATGA